AAAAAAAAAAAAAAAAAAAATTGAAGTTCGTCAGGGATACACTTGATCAAGAAATTTTGTGTAATACACTTTGTAAAATAGTTCCGTTTTTTAATTCTTTATGTAAGATATTTAAGCGCACATAGTATTTTTATACTTAAAAAATTGTAACATGTGCTCTAAGTTTAAGTGTTGCATTAATTTAATCAAACTAATGCAGTTTTTTTACGTTATTCATGCCTTGTCAAAAATTCCTTGAAATTTGTATATTGACACATTCCAGTTACTTAAGAAAACAATAGTACCAGATTCATCAGAAGCGTTAGAATAAACTTGACAGTACATTACGCACTTAGGAAAAATAAAAATATCTCAAATTACACGTGCAAGCCAAATGAAAGAGCGATAAAATATAATTTTGGTATGTGTTTCCTATCGGACCAATAACCGTCAACTTCAGTGGAATGGTGAAAATATATATTTTTTTTTTCCTTTTTGCCTTAAAATTTTCACGAGTTACGTTAAAGATTATTGAAATGTATAGTGTACAAATATAAAGTAAGAGAAATAATTTTGTGATGAAAACAATGTTTGATACATTGTACAAGCAGTTGTCAAAGATTTGGCTTGCCTCAAGCCGATTGTATCGTTATTTAAACGAATTTATATATTTTATTTAATTATAAGCAAACGGAATTGTTAGATTATAAGCATCAAATTTTGTACTCTTGGAAATGTTTTAAAAATATAATTTAATTCTTGAACAAAACTAATTTTTCTTAATCTCTAAAAAACGAAAGTTTTTTTTTTTTTTCTTCATCATTCAATAATCCGTGAAACGATGGTTCACGTCAAATCTGCTGTTAAGTAAGTATGAATTTTTTTTCCATGCATATCTTATCTATACGAGATTATTCGTATCTCTGTCGTTTTGGTATAACTGTTTTTTTTTATTATTAATTTTTAACTTAAATCACAATAAATTATTACACAGCAGCGCACAAAATTTCACGCAGATTATTATCAGATAGTATACTTTTGAGAACAAAAAAGAGACGTGTAACGTACGATATGCATAGCATAATAATGACACTCCTTGGTAACAGCGAGGCTATACTTTGGCAAGAGAGCATCGACAGGAGGGGAAAACAAGGTAATATAAGACCCAGCGAGCCTCAAATCGCGGCATTCGGGGCCGGGCGATAATTACGGGAACACACGCGCGACATTGCCTTATAAATGTGATATTTGTAATAAAAGTCTTCTAGGAAATAAGTAAGATATATTGGTCATTCTCGCGACGCACCTCCTTCCCGTAAATTGAGAAGGCTGCACTGTATGTACAAATATAATTTTCTGTTACCAGTTTTCTATCTCGGGCGGCCTCTATCTCTAGAGCTTCTCGCTCTCGGAGCTATAGTAAATCTATTTCTATGCGAGACACGTTCAGTTTTACTTTTCAAGCACTCACAGATATCGTTATGCTTACGTACATGTATCAGTTACAAAATAAGTGTATCAACGCTTATTTAAAATAATTTTCAGTATTTTTCCGTTTAGTTATCATTGTAGTAGTATTTTTGCAACAAAAAAATGGATCGCCTCAAAACCATATTAACAGTGATGTTGATAGTTGGCGATCTCGATGCACTCACAGTTTCTTTGAATGGACAGTGGAGAGGAAACATATTGTCATCAGGTAAAAAAAATGAAACAAAATATCCATTTTAATGATAATTCTTGGTTGATACGATGGGAAATATTATTTCCAATGTAGATACTTTTTTCGAGGCAAGTGTACCAGGAGGGGTTTTTACCGATCTCGAAAAAGCCGGATTGATTGGGAGAAATTTAGAGGGATTCAATGACGTTCGAAACCGATGGGTAGCAAACGAATCCATTGCTTACATCACCCAAGTGAACGGTACAGAGCTTTGAAAAATTATTAATCTATCGTTGAGAGTATTTCAATAATAAGTTTTTTTCTCACTCCGCTTAGTCGACGAAAATTTATTGAGGGCGCCTCATGTTGTTTTAACATTCCACGGATTGGACACGTTTGCCGAGATTTATGTGAACGGCATCGGGATAGCGGCAACGTCCAACATGTTTCTAAAATACAGTTTCGATGTAAAAAACAATTTGAAAGTTAGTTATTTCATTTGAATGAAATTCAAACTTTTCCCTGCGTACAACTGAAAAATAACATTTATTTGTAGCCTGGTAAAAACGAGTTAAAAGTCGTTTTCGGATCAGCAGTTAAGGCTGCAGAAGATTTGTACAATGAGCACAGCAAAAAGTACATTGTTCCACCTAAGTGCGTTCCCAAAGAATATAACGGCGAATGCCACGTTAACTTTATAAGAAAAATGCATGCTAGCTTTGGATGGGATTGGGGTGCAGCTTTTCCATCAATGGGTATCTGGTACTTGAAATATTTTATTATATTTTTCCATAAGTAAAAAAAAAAAAAAAAAAATCCCTTAAAAAAGTAATGCTGGAAAATTGATTACCATATATTTTTGTCGTGGAGGAGAGACGTAGAACTCGAGAGCTAATTACAAAAACAAGTTTCATGCATACGTCAAATTAAATGATAACGCCTAACATAATTATTGTTACCGTCACTCTAATACAACTACGATGCCGAGCTGTTGGAACAATGAAAAAAAAAAAAAAAAAAAAAATCACTCAAGTGGACCTTCCAAACTATAATAGAACATCTTTTATTTACTTATTAAAACAAACAGATAACCCCTGACCACAGTGTTCTATTTTCTTACCGTCAAAACTTCCACGATGCTTAGTATTTTTTTTAATTTTGCGGTTTTCTGCACGCGGTTTTCTCGAAAGTAGGTAATTACCGTGAAAAAAAAAAAAAAAATCCAATGCAATACAGTAGGTATAGCTGTTTTTCTTTACTCGCTATCGAAACGTAATCTAATGGTCTACGTGCTAAAAGTCATGTATTACTGTTTACAACGTGTACAATCGTGCGTTAACGATGTTATAACTGATTTTGATGATAAAGAGATAACCGAATCCAAGAGCTACACGCTATCGGCTGATTTTTGACAATACGGTTATCGAGATCCGATTTTTTTTTTCATCACGCGTTTACGTTGGATGGAGTTTCCAAGGTAAACATGAATTTCCTAGACTATTCAATGAAATATAACATTTTTTTTTTCACCTTCCATTTTTACTTAATTTGTCCTCGTTCGTCAACGATGATTTGTATTATTCTCCCCCCCCCCCCCCGGATTTTCAATAGCTCTGCAAACGCTACTCACTGATTTTCTTTGTAAGGAAGAAAAATAATATTATGTGCAACACTAGAAAATAAACAGACAAGTTCGCTGAGCTGTTCATATAATGACGCGACATATTATATACCTTTGGGTTTAAATGACAATGTTGCGTTATTATTTTTTTCAATTAGATCGAGATTTCCTCTTTCTACATGATTTTTTGGCTTACTTTCATTTGTTATCGTTTCTGATGGATAAATTTTATTTCGATTTTTTTGTTGCAGGCAATGGTAGCCTGTTACCCCGGTAATGGATCGCACTACGTCAAACACGTGGACAATCCAAATCGTGACGGCAGGTGTATCACCTCCATATACTACCTAAACAAAAACTGGAACGCACGAGTAATTGTTTATTTAATTTCCCTTTTTTTTTTCTCTATTTTGACACTTGAAAAAAAAAGAATTGTTATTAATGTCGAGACGATTATTTCAGACAACAGGAGGTCTTCTCAGGATATTCCCGGAAGGGTGGGACCAAGTGGCCAACATCGAACCATGTTTCGATCGTATACTCTTCTTTTGGTCGGATCGTAGAAATCCTCACGAAGTCCAGCCGGCTTTCGACACGAGATATGCCATAACATTGTGGTACTTTGACGCGGCGGAAAGATACGAGGCCAATCTACGACGCCAAAAAGAACAGATGATGAGTAAGCGTTGATATTTTGCTTTTAAGTTTATTTTATTTATTTATTTTTTTTTTTTTTTTCGTTAGATAACAACAACGAAACATTATTTTTGCTTCCAGTTAGATATGGCTGCAGCAAGGACCAAGAAGAGCAAATTAATAAGTCATGAGATGAAAAACTTGGAGGACTAAAGGACCGTCTGGCGACTGAATTTGATAAAGCGACACGTCAGTTGTTTGTATCTCTCTGTAAATAGTGACAAACACGCACACGCGCGAGAATCTCTCTGCTACGGCTATGATCGTGTGTATACTATTGCGAAACACGACTAGTGTTTGCAAGCGTTTATATGTTGCGTATTTTCTAGACAAAAACAGTAACCCGTGAGTTTCGGGAATGGAGGAATTGACTAGTTCTACGATAATAACTCAAGCTGGAGGGTTGAAAATAAATAAAATAACACAACAAAACACACTATACAGAAACGTGCAATAGACTAGTATTTCGATTTTATCTTCTCCGTTATTTTGTGGACTCGTTCTGTTGAGAAAGCTTCTTTGCTGGCTTCGATTGTTGTTACGGCGATTGGAAAGGATCGATCAGAGGCAACTTCCTAAAATTTGTCGTATCTCTTAACAGACTAATATTCCTAGGGTGTTAATATTGTCTAGAGAGTTATGTGATTAAAAAAATAATGATGAAACAGAATGATTCAATACCAAGGGTGTCAAGTGCCTCGGTATGTTAGAATTGTGATACGTAACTTGGTAATCGCTAGAAAAATTTGTTCTGAATTTTTCGAAATATTTTTGACACGCTGTAATTTTAAGATTGATCGGTAGAGTCGATTCTATAATTTATGTATCAAAACAAATTCAATTAATTATTAACCGTGCTGTTCTTAAGTGATAATTGCGTATGTAATCGTTATATCGAAAAATGTACATTATAGCTACGGTATTTAAAATTTATAAATACGTGTTTCTGAAAATCGCAAGGTAACTCTTAAGAATTTAAATGCGCAGTTTAAAAATTTCTCATCCTTTTACAATTGTTGGACATATGTTAAATTAGATTTATTTTTCTTCGTACACACAAAAAAAACTTTGAATAATTTTGTTTCAATTTTATTTGTGCATAACGACACTCTTGTGCTTGTTTTCAATCTCGCTATATATATATTAGATCTATTCTTTTTAACGAAATTTATATTAATTTTCTTTCAATTTTTTGTTTAAAATACGTAGTTTTAAAAAAAAAAATTTGTGTATGTATATGTAAAATTAAAAATTATATTTTCTAAGAAATACTGTACAACGCATAACAACTATCGTCTAAAAAAAGGTTGAAATGAAAAAAGATAAATAAAAGTTTTTAAACCTCATTTCACGTGCCCATTCACTTAATTTATTTTTTTGGTTCCTTATCTTAAAGTTCAGTGTCATCAGGTATATCACAGTCTTCAACTAAATTTTCTTTTGGACAGTACACTTTAAATGAAAAATTACTCTTAACGAATGATCCTGGGTTTGTAACTTGGCATTCATTGTACTTTGTGGTATAAGATTGAAAATCATCAGCCACAACAAGTAAATCCGGTGTTGGATAAAGTTGAAGTGCGTGATCATGTTTCCAGTATACAGGAATCGTTGAAAATAATAACGGAGTCAGGTGCGATTGGCGAATAATCGATTTAGCAAACTGAAACGAAAAATAGTGTAAAATTAAAATATGCTTGAAACAATCAAAATAATGAAATTTGGATTACTAACAGCTTCATAAACTTTTTCTCCTCTCTCTTGGCCGTTTTCATCTATTTCCTTTTTAGGATAACATAGAGTATTTCTGGACAATTTGGACAACATATTTTCTCTAAAAACAACAATTTCTTTTGTACAATATTGTATTCTGCAAGGGTTTGTAGCTAAATACGTTCCTGGAACTACTTTCAAAAAATCTTCCATTATATACTTTGGCAGAGGTGCTCTTGGTAAAATTTTCGGAGCACTCAAATCAAAAGGTCCAGGCACGATTATAAATTTAGTGTTTTGATGTATCAGTGGATATCGACTAATGATTCCAGCTACTTTTTTAAACCCCTCTCTTAACTTTTTAGCACTTGCAACATTTGATGTAGAATTGGAAAAATGTCCACACAGTACAATGGCAACAGGAGGACTTTCCGAGAAACCAGATAATAAAATTTCAAATTTACTTAAAACTACTTCATTGTCTACCCAAAATTCTGAAATAAAAACGAAAAAATTTGCCGAATTACTGTCTTCGAACAATTTTAATTTATCTGAAAATCTCAACGACAATGGATGGGGGCCACCAAAAACATTGGCATCACCAAAATTCACTCTACTTTCGTCTGGAGCTTCATGTGGTGGAAAATCAATATTGTCTACGTGCAATACTTTATCTGAGTATTTACCAGTGGCTAAAACAATTGAACCTTCCACAACCAAACTAGAGTTAAAACTGGCTTTTTTCAGATTTAACTTGACTGATCCACCATAATCTTCCAAGTAAAAGTGTCCTTCAGTTATCTGCGACAACAAACCCATAATACAAACATTTTTTGTCTTACATTCGCTTAATAAATATTCAATTGGAACTAATTGCAGCTTATTTTCGTCAGTGCGCCCCAATTTAGAAGGAGCAAAAATTGGGTGTTTTAGTGTTTTGTACCACAATAAATCTAAACGTTCTTTGAACACGAGCGATTTGTGTTTGGCATCAGGAAATAAATCAAAATCGGCCTTTTCTATCACATATTTTTGCTTGTTCAAGTCATAAACAACTTTTGGCACTGTAAAGGCATCTATGACATTTAAAACAGTCTCTGTTTCTTGCAAGGTACTTTCTGGCTTGATACACTCTTTTATGGCAAGTTTTATGTGTTCAATATCCACCTGTGGAGTGGTCAAATTCTGAGTTAAAATTTGTTCTACAACTCTTGTTAACCAGCTCTCTGGATCTAGCTCTGGATTACTCTGCAAGTGTTTAGCTACGATTGTACTAAGTTTCCTTGAAAATAAACAAACAAATTTTAGTTTTTCGGCAGAATGCTAATTATTAAATATAATCTGTCAAAATATTAAAAAATGTTCATTACTTTGTTATCGATAGACCATAAATGTTGAACGTTTTGTGAATCAATTTGATGGTTTTTTCATCTGCCATGACGGAGATCGATTAGTTGACCAACTATATCATTGAATGAAAAAAATAGCTGTAATTAGCTACAATAACACAAAAAATAAAAATTATCCAAAACCTTCAGAGCACAACACATTTACGATACACCACAACATACACCACAGTTTGCAGACGAGAATACAATTGACACATTTTTGGCGCCAAGCGTTTAAAGCCGCTCTTTCAACGCCGATCCAAAACATCCAATCCCTGCGTGAGATTCTTTTCGAGACAGTCGAGTCAAGTCGAGACACTCGAGAGAGACGAGATACGAGACTCGATACAAAAGGTCGTAGTACCAATTGCGGCAGTTTCATTGTTTCGGCATTTCCATCATTTTCCTTTAACCATGAACGTATTTCTAATCTAATCATCGCAATCATCATTCCTTCAGATTATCGGTACATTATTTAGATGATAGAAAAAAGGCGAATCAATCCATAAGTGTGACTTAACACGCGGACGGGCAGAAGACTATTGCGCGAGGAGCATTGATTGTGGGTTCAACTTTTATTGTTTTTTGCATGATCGTTGCGCGGTTGTTGCAGCCACGCTGCTGCTGCGTATTATTGTTGCTGTCTGACTCTGGCCGTGGCTGCTTCTATCAAACCAGGAGGACTCGATTTTCCTGCAGGACACAGGAGGAAGGTGTACGTGGACACCTAAAAGGATCATGGCAGGCTCTACGAAAGACGAGCCGCTTTCCAAACAGGAGCAAGAGGAAGAGGAAATGAGACACGAGCTCTCTAGTATGTTGACATTTTAGATTTTCTTTTTTATGATGAAACCAAGTTTTGGAACCATCTCATGTTTATTAACCTCTCGATTGGTATTTCTTTATTTATTATTATTATTTTTTTTTTTTTTCAAAGAAAATGGGATTTCATTTGTTTTTGTAAAATATCTTGAAAATGGATTTCTAGATTTTTTTAATTTTTGTTATGCTATAAGTAGGTAGAAAAATACAAGTTACCTCATAAGTAAATAAATTTCACTTAAGAAAGTTGTACGTTTTAAAACGTTGAGAAACATTTCGTGTGGTAGGTATATTTAAAGTTTGTTGTTGTTGTTGTTGTTACACAGATGCTGGTCTTTTTGAAGAAAACATGAACATCAATGAGATGAGAGACCTCATGAAAGCCCTGAATGCATCGAAAATAGAAATGAATGAATCAAAAACAGAAATAAACGTAAGAATTTTATATTTTCGATTCTTTAAAATAACTTTCATTTTATTTACATTAATAAATAAATCTATGTTGAAATTTTAGGTTCGAACGTCTCCGATTTTATCGTCTGCTGCTTCAAAGCCACAAATTTCACCAGAAACTACCAAAACAATTTTACACAGGCCTCTTCCTAGTTTTTCTTATCGAAACATTGTACTTGCTAGTGATACAACAGTAGCAGGGCCTGCTTATGAATTGTTAAAAAAAGGAAAGACTTCTGAATCTGTGTATGATGAGTCCTTCGAAACGAGTATAAACCAGACTGATAGCCCTAGTAATGAATCCACCCACGAAAAAAATTCTTTTTTCAATTCAGATGATTCTCCATCGTTGAACTGTAGGTCTGGTTCAAAAGGCAATAATGATGGCCCAAGACTAAGATCTCACGGAAAAAAACCGACACCAACTATGGTTAAAAAAATGAATTTGGACAAATTTAAAATAAACGAGTTCATTTTTGATGAAAATTTCAAAATACCAAAGGAGATGGAACAGGCAAATTTAAAAATAAACCCAAATTGCTTTGATGATGAATACTTGAATTCGGAAAAGTTTCAAGAAATGTTGGAGCACATGTGTAAAGAAATGGACAAACTTCACGACCAGTTCGTCGATGCAGAAGTAACAAAAATTATTGAGAATCAAAAGTCACAATGGGGGGCACCCATCAAGGTGGGTACCTCCAAACAAACGCATCTTTATTTAAAATAGTTAAAAACGTGTTCTAAAGAAACAAAAACTACTATTAAGATTCAAAATTAAATTAAAAAAAATAAAATTAATTTATGAAGATTCACGTTTTAACATATTATAAGCTTTAATAGTCCACATCGTGGAGTACAACAGTTTTAAAAAAAAAAATTTGTGTATGTATATGTAAAATTAAAAATTATATTTTCTAAGAAATACTGTACAACGCATAACAACTATCGTCTAAAAAAAGGTTGAAATGAAAAAAGATAAATAAAAGTTTTTAAACCTCATTTCACGTGCCCATTCACTTAATTTATTTTTTTGGTTCCTTATCTTAAAGTTCAGTGTCATCAGGTATATCACAGTCTTCAACTAAATTTTCTTTTGGACAGTACACTTTAAATGAAAAATTACTCTTAACGAATGATCCTGGGTTTGTAACTTGGCATTCATTGTACTTTGTGGTATAAGATTGAAAATCATCAGCCACAACAAGTAAATCCGGTGTTGGATAAAGTTGAAGTGCGTGATCATGTTTCCAGTATACAGGAATCGTTGAAAATAATAACGGAGTCAGGTGCGATTGGCGAATAATCGATTTAGCAAACTGAAACGAAAAATAGTGTAAAATTAAAATATGCTTGAAACAATCAAAATAATGAAATTTGGATTACTAACAGCTTCATAAACTTTTTCTCCTCTCTCTTGGCCGTTTTCATCTATTTCCTTTTTAGGATAACATAGAGTATTTCTGGACAATTTGGACAACATATTTTCTCTAAAAACAACAATTTCTTTTGTACAATATTGTATTCTGCAAGGGTTTGTAGCTAAATACGTTCCTGGAACTACTTTCAAAAAATCTTCCATTATATACTTTGGCAGAGGTGCTCTTGGTAAAATTTTCGGAGCACTCAAATCAAAAGGTCCAGGCACGATTATAAATTTAGTGTTTTGATGTATCAGTGGATATCGACTAATGATTCCAGCTACTTTTTTAAACCCCTCTCTTAACTTTTTAGCACTTGCAACATTTGATGTAGAATTGGAAAAATGTCCACACAGTACAATGGCAACAGGAGGACTTTCCGAGAAACCAGATAATAAAATTTCAAATTTACTTAAAACTACTTCATTGTCTACCCAAAATTCTGAAATAAAAACGAAAAAATTTGCCGAATTACTGTCTTCGAACAATTTTAATTTATCTGAAAATCTCAACGACAATGGATGGGGGCCACCAAAAACATTGGCATCACCAAAATTCACTCTACTTTCGTCTGGAGCTTCATGTGGTGGAAAATCAATATTGTCTACGTGCAATACTTTATCTGAGTATTTACCAGTGGCTAAAACAATTGAACCTTCCACAACCAAACTAGAGTTAAAACTGGCTTTTTTCAGATTTAACTTGACTGATCCACCATAATCTTCCAAGTAAAAGTGTCCTTCAGTTATCTGCGACAACAAACCCATAATACAAACATTTTTTGTCTTACATTCGCTTAATAAATATTCAATTGGAACTAATTGCAGCTTATTTTCGTCAGTGCGCCCCAATTTAGAAGGAGCAAAAATTGGGTGTTTTAGTGTTTTGNTATTTGGCACCAAAACATATGATTCGCGAAGCAAATAAGAAATTAGCAATAATTCGCTTAAAGGCGTGTTGTATTAATACGTTTGAAACGTGTGGAAAATACACACTTGAGGCGTGTTGGAATAAAACGCCTAGAAACGTGTAAATTCTGTGACGGCGGTTCACACGCTCCAAGTGTATTAAAATAACGCACTTGGATTTACAGTGTATAGGATGAAACTCTTTAATCTTATTGCCCGAGCTTATACACCGATGTCGCGCGTCTCCCTCCCTTCTGTATACAGTATAGTAGAACAACTTCGCATTTCATTCTATGTGTTTGAAGCGTTTGAAGCGGCAGTACTTAGTACTCAGTTGGTTGGTAGTAATGTATTAGTACGAGACAATTTGTATTTCCGTACGCAATGCTTCGTACGTGTGACAGCAATGACAATTATCAATTTTAATTGTTCATTTTATACATACACGCGCATTTAAGCACACTTTTATTGGTAATTTACTTTTTATTATTATTATTATTATTATTACTTTTGGGTAATCACGTGGTTACATGAACGCGTGTATATTTAGATATTTATATGTATAACACACATATAAATCAAAGAATACATCTTTTATCATCGAAAAACTCTTAGTTACTTTAAACGATCGTTGTATAACAATAAAAAAAAAAAAAAAAAATTGAAGTTCGTCAGGGATACACTTGATCAAGAAATTTTGTGTAATACACTTTGTAAAATAGTTCCGTTTTTTAATTCTTTATGTAAGATATTTAAGCGCACATAGTATTTTTATACTTAAAAAATTGTAACATGTGCTCTAAGTTTAAGTGTTGCATTAATTTAATCAAACTAATGCAGTTTTTTTACGTTATTCATGCCTTGTCAAAAATTCCTTGAAATTTGTATATTGACACATTCCAGTTACTTAAGAAAACAATAGTACCAGATTCATCAGAAGCGTTAGAATAAACTTGACAGTACATTACGCACTTAGGAAAAATAAAAATATCTCAAATTACACGTGCAAGCCAAATGAAAGAGCGATAAAATATAATTTTGGTATGTGTTTCCTATCGGACCAATAACCGTCAACTTCAGTGGAATGGTGAAAATATATATTTTTTTTTTCCTTTTTGCCTTAAAATTTTCACGAGTTACGTTAAAGATTATTGAAATGTATAGTGTACAAATATAAAGTAAGAGAAATAATTTTGTGATGAAAACAATGTTTGATACATTGTACAAGCAGTTGTCAAAGATTTGGCTTGCCTCAAGCCGATTGTATCGTTATTTAAACGAATTTATATATTTTATTTAATTATAAGCAAACGGAATTGTTAGATTATAAGCATCAAATTTTGTACTCTTGGAAATGTTTTAAAAATATAATTTAATTCTTGAACAAAACTAATTTTTCTTAATCTCTAAAAAACGAAAGTTTTTTTTTTTTTTCTTCATCATTCAATAATCCGTGAAACGATGGTTCACGTCAAATCTGCTGTTAAGTAAGTATGAATTTTTTTTCCATGCATATCTTATCTATACGAGATTATTCGTATCTCTGTCGTTTTGGTATAACTGTTTTTTTTTATTATTAATTTTTAACTTAAATCACAATAAATTATTACACAGCAGCGCACAAAATTTCACGCAGATTATTATCAGATAGTATACTTTTGAGAACAAAAAAGAGACGTGTAACGTACGATATGCATAGCATAATAATGACACTCCTTGGTAACAGCGAGGCTATACTTTGGCAAGAGAGCATCGACAGGAGGGGAAAACAAGGTAATATAAGACCCAGCGAGCCTCAAATCGCGGCATTCGGGGCCGGGCGATAATTACGGGAACACACGCGCGACATTGCCTTATAAATGTGATATTTGTAATAAAAGTCTTCTAGGAAATAAGTAAGATATATTGGTCATTCTCGCGACGCACCTCCTTCCCGTAAATTGAGAAGGCTGCACTGTATGTACAAATATAATTTTCTGTTACCAGTTTTCTATCTCGGGCGGCCTCTATCTCTAGAGCTTCTCGCTCTCGGAGCTATAGTAAATCTATTTCTATGCGAGACACGTTCAGTTTTACTTTTCAAGCACTCACAGATATCGTTATGCTTACGTACATGTATCAGTTACAAAATAAGTGTATCAACGCTTATTTAAAATAATTTTCAGTATTTTTCCGTTTAGTTATCATTGTAGTAGTATTTTTGCAACAAAAAAATGGATCGCCTCAAAACCATATTAACAGTGATGTTGATAGTTGGCGATCTCGATGCACTCACAGTTTCTTTGAATGGACAGTGGAGAGGAAACATATTGTCATCAGGTAAAAAAAATGAAACAAAATATCCATTTTAATGATAATTCTTGGTTGATACGATGGGAAATATTATTTCCAATGTAGATACTTTTTTCGAGGCAAGTGTACCAGGAGGGGTTTTTACCGATCTCGAAAAAGCCGGATTGATTGGGAGAAATTTAGAGGGATTCAATGACGTTCGAAACCGATGGGTAGCAAACGAATCCATTGCTTACATCACCCAAGTGAACGGTACAGAGCTTTGAAAAATTATTAATCTATCGTTGAGAGTATTTCAATAATAAGTTTTTTTCTCACTCCGCTTAGTCGACGAAAATTTATTGAGGGCGCCTCATGTTGTTTTAACATTCCACGGATTGGACACGTTTGCCGAGATTTATGTGAACGGCATCGGGATAGCGGCAACGTCCAACATGTTTCTAAAATACAGTTTCGATGTAAAAAACAATTTGAAAGTTAGTTATTTCATTTGAATGAAATTCAAACTTTTCCCTGCGTACAACTGAAAAATAACATTTATTTGTAGCCTGGTAAAAACGAGTTAAAAGTCGTTTTCGGATCAGCAGTTAAGGCTGCAGAAGATTTGTACAATGAGCACAGCAAAAAGTACATTGTTCCACCTAAGTGCGTTCCCAAAGAATATAACGGCGAATGCCACGTTAACTTTATAAGAAAAATGCATGCTAGCTTTGGATGGGATTGGGGTGCAGCTTTTCCATCAATGGGTATCTGGTACTTGAAATATTTTATTATATTTTTCCATAAGTAAAAAAAAAAAAAAAAAAATTCCGTTAAAAACGTAATGCTGTAAATTGATTACCATATATTTTTGTCGTGGAGGAGAGACGTAGAACTACAACCTGCGCAAATTGCATTGGTAACAGAAATCACGACGGACATTTACGAACGAGATAATTTTTGGCAAGTTGTCGTGATAGTATTTTTCAAAACTTTTGGAGAACAAAATACTATTATTGATAAGGAAACGAACGTTGAGTGTTCATTGGAAAACCTGTACACCAACAAAAGCGCGCTTTCCAAGTTAATCGTTTCGAATAATGAAGCTAATACATCTTTAGTATTGAATATACCTTTGGTGAGTTTTTTTTATTCTTCATGTACTTATTTGCATTGACACGTTATAATTTGTGTCTTGATCGTTTGAAAAATCAACTCGTGTAGAACAAAGTTAAACGATGGTGGCCCAACGGATACGGCGAGCCGCAATTGTATTCGTTGAGTGTAAAAGTTAAAACGGATTCCGATGTCGCGGAGAAAGAGCTGAAAATTGGATTTAGAACTGTCAAGCTCGTCCAAGAGCGGCTAGAGGAAGGATTGAGTTTTTATTTCACGATAAACGGCATCCCCGTGTTCGCCAAGGGATCGAATTGGATCCCGTCGAGCGCAGTACCGGAAAATTTGTCAAACGAGCACACCCTGCGCCACTTGCTCAAGTCCAGCAGGGACGCTCACATGAACATGATGCGAGTTTGGGGCGGTGGCGTTTACGAGTCGGACCTGTTTTACAGCATAGCCGACGAGTACGGGATCATGGTCTGGCAAGATTTCATGTTCGCCTGCAACATGTACCCGACCACGCGATCCTTCCTCGCCAATGTCAAAGACGAGATTGTCCAAAACATGAGGAGACTTAAGCACCACCCCAGCATTGTCCTGTGGGCGGGCAACAACGAGAATGAAGCTGCTCTCTACGGCAACTGGTACGGCACTGGATCCAAAGAGATTTACAAGCGAGATTACGTCAAGCTTTACGCCGATGTGATTAAGCACGAGGCTGAGATAATGGACGGGACGAGGCCGTTTGTGGTTTCGAGTCCGAGCAACGGGATTTACAGCGAAGAGAACAATTACACCGAATCGAATCCTTACTCGAACTATTATGGCGACGGTGAGAGGATTCCACGATTAATTTTTCTCCCCTTTCATTCCAAAGTCCTCATCTTCGGTTGCTTGTCGCAGTTCACTATTACAACTACTTGAGGGACCCTTGGGACATCAATCAGTATCCAGTGACGAGGTTCGCGTCCGAGTACGGGTTCCAAGCTCTGCCGTCGATTTGGACCCTGATGTCGGCAATCGAGCACCCAAACGATTTGCAATGTGAAAGCTCGTTCATGGAACATCGCCAGCACCTGCCGAGTGGCACCAACTTTATGAAACTGTTGATATCCAAAAATCTCGATATTCCGGGGAGTAACAACTCCCTGGTGCGTTTAATGGATTACGTATACCTCAGTCAAGTCACTCAGGCGGTGGCCGTGAGAATCGAGACGGAACTGTATCGTCAGATGAGAAGTTCGTTCAATACAAAAAACGAGGGCATGACGATGGGTGCGCTTTACTGGCAGCTCAACGATGTTTGGCAAGCGCCTTCTTGGTCATCCATTGGTGAATATTCATATTCAATAAAACGCCGTGGGACGAAATCGTTGAATTTTGATTTTTTTTTTTTTCGCGCAGATTTCGATGGTCGTTGGAAAATGCTGCACTATTACGCCAAAGATTTTTTCGCTCCCGTGATTATAACTCCGCAGCTGTCCGCAGCCAGGGAACTTGTGGTTTTTGGAATTTCAGATTTACCGGATGCGTTGGAAAATCTAACGGCAGAAATCCTCCTCTACGAATGGAGCACTTCGAAAGCAGTGTACACCCACAATCTTACGAATCTCTCAATTGTAAGTGCGTGCGTGTTTTTTTGTTTTTTTTTTCTTACACATGGAAATATATAATTATAACTTTTGAAAAGTGATCCAAAAAAATTTTAGAGTCCCAGAGAATCGAAAGTATTGGGGCGACTGTGGCTTGACAAATTTTTGGAAGAAGCTGGCTGTGGGAGTCTGGCAAAGGCGAGGGAACATTGTCTTGTAGAATTCCGATTGAAAGATGCCAGCGGCCGGCGAATAGCGCCACTCAATTACGTTTACCCGCATGCCTTGAAAGAAGTTGCCTTGCCAAGAAATGACGTTAAGGTAAGCACGGGATATGGGTGTTATTTTTATCTTGAAACTAAAAAAATACACGTCGATCAACAAACTGGTGGTAAAAATTCGCAAAATGGTTAATTTCAGGTAAAAATCGAACCGCGAGTCCTTGCTAACGCATCATTGAGCGAAAGAGATTTTGAGGTAGAGGTGATGTCCAATAATCTGGCGCTGTTTGTTTGGCTGGAACTTGGAAACATACCCGGTCAATTTTCCGAAAACGGTTTTCACGTGTTGAACCACAAGAAAACAATCCATTTTCATTCTTCCCAACCTGTAGCTGCCCAAGAGGTGACCAAGAATCTTGTCGTCACGTCCCTTTCGCGAATCAGTGATACGAATCGTCGAGTCTCGGACGTACAAGTCGTCCTTTCCGAACTTGATAAACTTAAATCCATCAAATGCATACACAGTCGAAAAATAAAGTAATCCTATGGTAACTTTGTTGTAAAAACAATTTTCAATAGCAATTGAAATTTTTCCCCCGTATTGTTAAATTTTTGAAAATGTCAATTGCAATCATCGAATGGCGCAAAAATCGATGACGGAAGATATGCGTTAAGTATTTCCGATGAAATCGCTAATGCATACATTTCGCATAACCAGGGTATAAGTTGTTTGTTCTTGCCATCACAGATTTTGTGCTGTACGTTAAGAAGGAAAATACATTTCATAGTGCAAGTACACTTCGAAAGCAATCATGATGAAAAGGATTATTGCTAGGATGCTAATTATGACACCCAACATTTTGTTAAAAATCGAAAAAAAATCGACACTTTGTAATTTTTTCTTGATTTATTGTTGCGATACAAAACTTTTTTGGTTACGTTTGACTTGAATAAAATTTTTCGGCAAGCAAAGTAAACAAACAAATGCTTGCAGGTTGCCAAAACTTCATTCTACACTTACAACAGCATATTTTTTTTTTTTTTTTTTTTATTTTCAATAAATTAATTTATACCACGCAACGATAAATATATACATAAAAGTAAAATAAATTGTGTTAATTCTCTTTTTTTTTTTTTATTCAAACTGATCAACAGTCGAATGTTTTATCTCTTTAATAAATAAATATGTATAAATTGTTAAATACTCATTCGAAAAATAAATTTAAAAAATACTTTTTTTACAGTGGTCAGTATCTGTATTCTATAGTAAGAAAATTATTACTTGACTTTTTAGTTTCATTGATTGGCTTTGAGTTATAAAAATCACAGGTTCATTGTGCACTTATTAAGCGTTAATCTTGAGAAGAACGGCTCTCGCCTTGATTAAAATTCGAACGTATATGCTTAAAATATAAAATTTCTCACATACTTATTATAATGTTAATTACAGCCAAAACGGGCGGAAGGCACAAGCGCACTTTTCATGTTAGTTCTTCATGTAAATTTTTAAAATTTTACCTCTGAATTTAGCATATATATCTATATCAGTAGAAAAAAATTTTCTTTAGTTGTTACTTACTAACATTCGAAATTATCGATTTGTGAATTAATCGTATTAATTGCCTCTTTAGTTGGAGATTGAAGGTATTTTCTGCTCAAATTGATCACCACCATGATACAACACAAAAGCAGAGGGCCAAATATCGCACCTTCGATACCTAAACAGAATATACCCCCTGCTATTGATAATCCAGTGAGGTATGGATGTCCACCTCTGAAAATTTATGAAAAATTATGTGGGCGTGCAATCAAAGTCTTAAATGAGAAATTTGTCACGTTAAAATAGATAAGTACCCTTTTATTTCCATGTAAAAGTCCGTGATAGCCCAGGTAAAGACAGAGAAATGCAGTAAGAAAAAAACAAGGGCGATGAGAGCGCCTTGCGTGAACCACAGTTCGATCGTTGCAGGAATGCAAACTATTGAGACATCGATAAACGGCACGGCTCCTAATAAAGTTGCGAAAACCGTCGGCAAATAGATGATTTTTACTTGAAATAAGTTGTGAATAAACCAAGTCCACATGCCGAAAAAGGAAGCCAATTTAAACGTGACTTTAAATACTCCGATCACAGATTCTTGCAAAGCCACAGCAAATCTAATAGCAAATAAAAATCCGTGCGATATAAACATTGTTCAAAATTATTAGATCCTCTATAATTTGAGTATGATTACATTTTTGTTAACTCAAAAACTAACTACGTGACTGTACAAAAATTGGGTGAAAAATTTAAATTCTATTAAAACACCGCTTATTTATTTCATTATTCAATGCACAAATTTACTTCTACCTGGTTATAAAAATCATTTTTTTTAACATACCCTTTTTCGTCAGGTCTGTTTATGTAATTTATGAAAAGCAAAACGATTAATTAAAAATTCTTCTGAGAACGTTAAGTAATATTGTTAAAAGGAATATTTACCTGTAGCAGCTTATGGGGCTCAAATTAGTGATCAATTCGATTGGCTTGTATACTCTGTCACTTGAACTGAGCAAATAAAATAATGCAGTGAAGAATACAATCTGTTAACAGATAAAAGATTAAATTTGGCCACAAATGAATTTATAAGAAATAAAAAATGAAATACTCACTGTACTCAATGTGAAGTTAAGTAACGCTGATCCACTAATAAAAACAATGTAAATCAATTCGGTAATCATGCCAAGTACAACTGTTATGTTTCCTTTGACTATACTCCAAACAGAATCCAACACTGACATAAATATACCAATGTTTTCTTTGACAAAATTTTGGATACTATTCATGTTGAAGAGTTCTAAAAGTTTTGGTAAATACATTTTTTTAATAATTTTTTTTTTCTTCTTAAACAGATAAACTATTTTTACTAACGTAAAGGTGTTTTTCCAAATCCGTCTTTTAAGCTCTCCCAAGCAGAAAAAGCTACATTTGCATTAACAGTTGGTCCAATTAAATCTGGATTATCATTTGACATCATCCATGCCTGATACAACCTATCCCAGAGTTCTAAAAACTTTTTTTCAACGTGCTCGGCTTTCACAGGATCTAAATCTTTGACAAGTTTTTCTATCTACAATAAAAATCTCATTGGGTAAGAAAATTTAGTTTAAAGTATAAAAATAATAAAGGATTCTTACTCCGTTTGAAATAGCAGATCTTCCATGCATATAAATACTATCCAAGACACTATTTACAGATTCTTCCAGCTGTTGTGGAACCCAATCAATGTCAGGATTATTCATTAAAGTAGAGTTTAAAATCTCTCCACTTACTTTGACAAGATGCACTCCTTCTGTGTAAACCTACATACACAATGTAATCAATTTAAGTATAACATATGCACTTAACAGGTGTAATTATGTTGCATCGATTAAATAATATACTGACTTGAACGGTTATAAAAATCATTGTACATATGACAAAAATTATGAGTGCAACAATGACTGCAGTTGTTGACATTGCATCAACGGATCCCTTCAAAGTGTGAGTTACTTTCTGGTCAACAATAATACTGACGTTATACAAGCCTTTAATGCTAACAGGTATCAATGCTTGGTGTCGCTCCTGACACCAGGATGTAATCGGATTCGTCATCGAGAGAAATTGATTTGATATCATATTACCGATCCCAAAGTAAGAATTCAATTTCTTTAAATAATAATACGCTAATGGGACAATGAGTATAGCTACAATCCATTTGTGCTTCCATAGGATCATCAGAAGACAGGCGTACATTGCTCCATACATGTACTTATCAGTATCAACAGCAGTATCATCAAAGTCTATTGACATTTTCATCTCTGAGCGCAACTTACTTAATAAATAACGATCGGCTATCGATATTTTGTTGGTCAAAACGTCACTTGCCGATTTTACACGTTTAGTGGGTTGGTCGTACAAAGCTTTCCCACCCACATCAGTAATCATTGACATAGATCTTCCAGTTGTTTTGAGAAAAGGTTTTGGAGGCAATGTTGTTGATTTTTCTTTATCACTTTGCTCAATTTGTTCATTTTCCTCCATCAAAAATTCATCCTCTAATAATACTGGCATCTCTCTATCATTCGATGTCCTTACTTCACCATTTGTTAATACTTGCTTGAAAACATCTGTAAGTGATAATTTTCTAGCTTTTACCTCTGGATCATTTAACAATACTATGATTTCATGTATAAATCCAATTGAATATAGCACTTGTAGACCACAAAATGTCAATGTTGGATATGCTCCCATAGCATTTGAAAGATACAAACTGATGAAGAACCAAACTACATAAGAGCTTTTACGAAATCGAGAGCTATTTTCAGGAGTCCAGTACATATATAGGAGTGAAAAGTATCCTATTATAACAAGGCTTATCTGAAACAAATAAAAAACGTTTACCAAGTCGTATTGTGACAAAAAAATTGAATGCCACAAAAATAAACTTACCACATAAATGTTACATACTGATATGAAAAAATCAAGCATAGTATTGAAGGCTGCCACCAACTTCCATATCGAATAACTGAGAATAGTTGGAGTGTAATTGTAAATCGTTAACAAAGTAGTAAACGACATAAAAGCACACAAAATATATCTCAGATGATTTTGTAAAACCAAACCAATCAGCTCGGAGGTTGTATCAAAAATGTTAATAGGAACTAGTGCTAGACTTAACAAAAAGGGCTTGTGTGACTCTTGGGTTGTGCTGAACCAAGAATGCACGACTGTTGCCAGAGAAGACTTGATGGGAAAGAGTACTGCACCACACAACAGAGCCCATATCAGTGGCTTCAAGAAAGGACCAAGCACAATATAAAGACCATACCCTGCAGAGCATACAATGCACAGGAGTAACAGGGCAACTGCATTGTAAATGCCCTGCTTGAGAGCTTTTTCATGGCCTGAACTGAGACCAGCCAATTTTTGAAGAATGCTGTCCATGGGTGTCTTCGCCGTGTCCATGTTTGCGATTCTTTTCTTTTCCTTAACTATTTTTTGAACTGCTTTTTTGATCCTCACCCTCTTTTTTTTTCTCACGTCATATCTATTTATAACTGCAAACCTGTATTTTAAGATATCAAACGAGTTTTTAAAAATATTCTGAAATTCAGCTGAATGCGTTGTATATTTTCCAAAATACCTTCATTTTTGGTGAACAACGATTAATTACTGTATGCTCTCAAATTATTATTTAAACAAAATAATATAGGCTAGATTTTCTTAGGTACATACTTTCAAATATCCGAGGCACACACGCAGTCAAGTAACGATGAGATCACACAAAGTGAAACGTTTCATCATTATAATCGACTTTTCTAGTATTATTACTTTTATCAGTTAATTCTTAGAACAATAAATATCTACGTATTAGATATAAAAATATATCACAGCAATGTATTCTCACCACAAGATGCTTGAAGCGCATCAAGCTATATACCTATATACTATTACTTTTATAACGCTTGCACAGTTACTCAAAAATTACTCATAAACAAAACCACTTGCAGTAATATGTATGAACTAACATCTAAGTATTCCTATTGTAATTTTTCTTCAGCTTCGCGAATTACGCGGTGATTTCATTTATTTATTGTATCTCCTCCTGAAGTTAGGAAAAAATGCATTTTTTCGTTTGAAACTAATTGATTGAAATCAAAATATAACCATTTTTTTCAATATTTTTAAGGGGACATACTAAAGTATCTTTTATAAACAATATGATTAAAAAAACAGCAGCGATTTCCAAATTTTCGAAAGCAGTGTTATTATTATTCGGTTACATGAGTGAAAAAATTTACTCTTTCAATTGAAATAAAAAATATAATAAAATCTGTTTTGGCCCTAATGGTAAGAAAAAAGAAAAAAACTAAATGAGTCGAAAGATATCGCTATGGGGAATTATAGTTTTAAAAAATAAAATATTTTACATACAATACATAAGTACACCACTTGAGTTCAGATTTGAATTACGCGCCAATTTGGATGCCATTTTTTCTCAGGAGTAACCAACAAAAATGTTTTAAAATCTCTAGTTCACAGTCACGTGAAATTCCCTAGTAGTTCATCAGCAAAAAATAAACACCAGTGACAAGTTTATCCACTCTCTCATCAGAAAATATCTTAAGTAATATATTTTTGTAGCGAAAATTGTCAGCTGTCTGTGGTGTTTGGTTTGTCTTTGATCGCCACAGTAACTACCTCACTTCAGTTTAACGTTAGTGGTTTGTTGTGTATTACGTGCATTTTTAAGTCGAAATTCACAAGAATAATAGGAAGAGGAGAGCAAACACAGAGAGACGTTAATCGTCCAAGTCGTTCAAATGTTTTTCAACAATCCCATTATCTAAGTACGAACTTGTGTAAGCGAACGAAGGTGTACACCTAAAGCGGCTCTCGTTTTCGTCCACCACTTTTCATCATCCACCAACACCACCTCTCTACATCATCAACGATCAACCTTCTCCTCCGCCACAATATAACGTGAACCAGGTGAGAACAGCAAAAGCTTCCGCATTAATCGAAAATCTGCAATTCCGCAAGTTAATTAATCCTCGGCTAATGCTCAAGGGCTATTAACTAATCATTTTGGTTTTAGTCGTTGATCACCGTAATTCAAGACTAGCTTGCTTACTTTTATTATTTATTCTATTGATTTATTCCTAAATAATTGAGTATGTAAGGTGTACACATTTGTAAGCCCTGTTTTCGTGTTTTTTCAGGTGTCAGTTGTGCAACGGCCGACGAGATGACTCTTATAGAAGGAGTAGGTGACGAGGTGCTGAATTTCTTTATGATAGTAGGAACACTCTTTGTAGGATGGGTAGCCTGGTGCTCAACGAATATCGGCGACCAGCCGCTCATACGCACCGTGCTCATCCTTCAGGAACGCACTCGCACGCGCATCGCTGCCCTTAGAGCTAACCCGGTTCAAGTACTGGCCATGTCTCAGCAGCACCCTACAGACAATAGTGACAACGAATCCAGGCAGTCGAATTCCAGTAGCAGCAGCGAAGTAGATGCCAGCTGTCCTGACTCTCCTCTACCAGGTAATGTTGTCAAGATTATGTTTGTTTGTTTGTTTGTTTGTACAACAAGGACTAGGATTGTGCTTTTGATGATTGCAGCTACGAGTACAGTCATAGCCGAGCCAGCCGCAACTCCAGCTGCCACAAATGAGGAGGTTCTCATAAGAGCCATGGATTCTTTCAATAATGAGGAAGCAGATACCAAAGTTAATCAAGTTGAAAAAACTTCGACTGAAGCAAGTAATAACATCGGAGAAACAAAAACGACAGAAACAAGCAATGACGCTGCAGTGGCATCTTCAGAATCAGAACAGACTGAGGCCAATGTGACGAATGACAATGAGAAAAATATTTCTATAAAGCTGAAATTCATAAACGATGATCAAAAATTAGTTACTGGTAATCTCAATGAAATGCTTGGCGACTTCAAAAGGTAATTTGATTATCCTCTTAAGCCGTATATTTTTATTATTTTTTTTTTTACACATTTTTCCAATTATTTTTTAAGACGTAATGCTTGAAAATTAACGATAAAAGTTAATCTATTAACATTTTTTGGTAGTATATAATCTTAAGTATTTGCGTTCAATATTGACTTACGGTAAATTATTTATAACACATAAGTTTGAATAAAAAATACATGATGAGTTATGGGTAAAATACGAGACACATCACTAAATCCATTTATTTAGTAAATAGTCTTTTTTAATGCATTATTATATTTTCTATTATCATATTTCAGGAAACATTTCCAATTGGAGCTTGAGTCTAGAAAATTGGTTCGCCTAGTATTTAACGGTCACGTTCTTCAGCCCGACGAAATAACCCTGGAACAGTGTGGCTTCTTTAACAATTGCGTTGTGCATTGTTTAATCCACCAGCCGCGTCCAGCCCCAACTGCCACAACTACGTTAGACAGTTCCTCGCATATGTACTTTAATCCTCCACCTTATCAGAACATACCGGCAGGTGCAGGTCTTGGGTCAGCGCAAGCTGAATGGGATCTCAGCAGGCTGTTGGTCAGTATTGTGACACTCGTGTTAGGCCTCGCTTGGTTCTTTAGATATCACTATGCCCAACTGTTTACTATAACCACGACAGTAGGCTTGTTTGGACTCACAGCGATATTCACGTTCTCATTGTTCGGCCACTTGTTACCAGATCAAGACAGTATTAGAAATATTGAGTAAAACAAGAATTTTTTTCGTTCAGTTTCACGTGTGCAGGCTTTAATTAATCGGCGTAGGTAAGGAATTGAAAATTCGTTGCCAGAAAAACACAAAAAAAGTTGACTTATCGAACAGATTTATTTGGTCTGGAAAGTGGTTAAATTAAAAGACTATTGCGACGTTAAGAAGAGGAAATTTTAACAAGTTTTAAGAAAATCATTAAATGTTTACAATTTTTTCGAAAGATATCCAAATTTTGTATTCTCTTTCTTTGTTTTTACCCAAAAAAAGAATTTAGTGATGTAAAACTGTGAAAAGCCGACTACAACCATTGCTGTTATATATTGTAATATACAATTATTTTCTTTCGTTTGATTTTTGTTAAAAGGTGGCGTATATATTTAAGTTTTACGTAGTTATTTTTTATCATTAATAATACGAAAAATTTTATNCCGAAGTACGAGTCTAGAGAGTCTCGCAAAAAAATGGATGAAACTATTACAACAGCTACAGGGGAAGATCAACAAATGGAAAAATTGAGAGTTAATTTATTTTCTGGGTGGACTGAAAATTCATCTAAGGGAGATGACATGTCTACTAGTGAAGTAGAAATGCTTGATTCATCGAATATGAAACAAGAGTAAAAATAAAGTAACATTTTTTATTCTTTTAAAATTGTTTGTTCTAATTTAATTAGTACCCTCAGTTAAAATCTTTTTTCTTAATTAATTTTTCAAAAGAGTTTCTAGTCACATTTTAATAGTTTTAAATAAAAACATTTAGTAAATTATGAATTGAGTGATTATTTAATAAGAGCTTTTGTCGGACGAATAAAAGCTTTATTTTCCTTGCCCGCTTATTTTCTTTACACTTATATAATATATTAGCTTGTTAATTTGGTAGTTGTTAATCTTATTATCATTGCAAAAGGCATAAACAATAAGAATACTTGCAATAAATCTAAGTTAAAATGATAAATCTAAGTTAACCTAAAAATTTGTAGTGTAAACTATTCCTTTTCAACAATGTCGAATCGAGATTCTTTGAGCGCTGACGAGAGTATGAGCAATGTTTTGGAAAATAAAAGCATTGATTTAGAATCTTACCGAAAACTAGTCAAGCATTACATTGACATGGTAAATAATGTATTCATTCTTCATCTATTTGTATTTTGTAATTGTTAGAAGCAACGATTTTTTTTTATTTTAGCACTTGTACAATGCAGCTTTGTTTTGGGCAGATAAAGTTCTTTCATTAGGTAATGAAAACTTCAAAGATGTATGCGTTTTGGCTCAGTGTATGTACTTGATGAAGCAGTATCACCGGGCGGCTCATTTAATCAGAAGTCGTGGACTGGAAAAGGTTGAAATAAAAAAAAAAACATGATATAAATTGTATATTTTTAAATGTTTAGTTTTGAAATCGACTAATGTTTGTTTAGAAAAATGTCTTATGTCACTACTTGGTAATTCGTTCTCTTTACGAAGCTAAAGAATTGACAGAAGCAGTGCAAGTGATAAATGAGTTTGAAACCTTGACAAACATGAATCAAACAGAAAGCAGCTTCTTTGATCAATCCATAGTTATAGAAGATGCTCCAAAAAATGTTAGTACTCATAAGTTTTTTCTGTAAATACATAAATAAATTTAATAACCAATAGTGTACTGCTCTAGGTAAAAAGTGCGATCCTATACATCAAAGGGAAGATTTACGAAGCTATGGATAACAGAGCAGTGGCCACTGAATGTTACAAGCAATCACTCCATCTTGATGTGTATTCTTATCAAGCTTTTGAGGCCCTTGTACAAAATCAGATGCTTTCTGCAGCTGAAGGTAATTTTATTTTTATTTTAAAAAAAGCATACCAAGGAAATAAAAGAACAGTGTGCTAACAAATTTTTTAGAAAACGAACTTTTGGAATCTCTACCCTTTGTTGAACAGTGTAAAGAATCTGATGCTGAATTAGTGAAACTTCTGTACGAAAGTAAATTAAAAAAATATCAAGCACCAGCAGAGAATAATTTCCTAATATCTGATGGAGTACTTGTTAAAGATAGTTTAAAGAATAACTTGGACATCAAAGTTGCTAAAGCAGAAAGACTGTATTACAATTGTGATTATTATCAATGCTTCTCATTGACAGAAAGGTATAATCCTACATCTAAATTTACGACAATTGTTTTAATAAGCTTTTCAATCATTTTAGAATTTTCTTACAGTATATTAAAATCTGATCCATACCATAGTGCCTGTTTACCTGTACACATAGCTTGTTTAGTAGAATTAAGAAAGACAAATGGTAATGAATTGATTACACTACTATTGTAAACTGCCAAATAATTTCTTAATTACAGTTTCATGAAAACATTATTTTAGCCTTATTTTATTTGGCTCATAAATTAGTGGATCTATATCCAGATTTAGCGCTGTCATGGTTTGCAGTTGGCTGTTATTATTACAGTATAGGTATGAATCAATAACAAAGATTATGCCAATTGGTTGCATATATAAATTTTTTTTTTCCTCATTCCAGGAAAAAGTGATCCAGCTAGAAGATACTTAGCAAAAGCCACGTCTTTAGATCACTTATTTGGTCCAGCATGGCTAGCTTATGGTCATTCCTTTGCAGTTGAAAATGAGCACGATCAAGCAATGGCTGCTTATTTCAAAGCTTCACAATTAATGAAAGGGTGTCATTTATCACTATTGTACATAGGTCTCGAATGTGGTTTGACCAACAATGTTAAATTAGCAGATAAATTTTTCCAACAAGCACAGAGCATAGCTCCTGATGATCCATTCGTAATACATGAAACTGCTGTTATTTCTTTCTATAATTTAGAGTAAGTTCTTTTTTTTTTTTTTTTATAAGAAATTCTACAAACAATAATTTTTTTATTTAAAAACAGTTATAAAAATGCTGAGAAGCAGTTTAAAGAAGCCATGAAAAAAATTCAAAACGGACGGAAGGATGTTATACTCCCAAGCAAATGGGAAGCTCTGTTAAATAACTTAGGACATACTTGCAGAAAGTTGAAAAAATATGAAGAGGCATTGGATTATTATCAGCAGGTAAACAACTAGTGTGCAAGCATAACTAATTTGACAAATTTTACCAAACAATTTTAAAAATCACAATTTTCAGGCGTTGGTATTAAATCCGCTCAGTTCGGCAACTTATTCTGCAATTGGTTTTACACATGCTCTTATGGGTAATGCTCAAGAAGCAGTTGATGCATGTCACAGAGCTCTTGGCATCAGAAGAGATGATACTTTCACAACTACACTATTGGGATTTGTTTTAGAACAACTTATAAATGAAACCCCTCCATTTCCGGGTAATTACAATTTTTTTTAAATAAAATGAATGGAAAAAAATATTTTAATGTTTATACTTTTTTACAGATGCTCCATTAGAGCTACCGAAGTACGAGTCTAGAGAGTCTCGCAAAAAAATGGATGAAACTATTACAACAGCTACAGGGGAAGATCAACAAATGGAAAAATTGAGAGTTAATTTATTTTCTGGGTGGACTGAAAATTCATCTAAGGGAGATGACATGTCTACTAGTGAAGTAGAAATGCTTGATTCATCGAATATGAAACAAGAGTAAAAATAAAGTAACATTTTTTATTCTTTTAAAATTGTTTGTTCTAATTTAATTAGTACCCTCAGTTAAAATCTTTTTTCTTAATTAATTTTTCAAAAGAGTTTCTAGTCACATTTTAATAGTTTTAAATAAAAACATTTAGTAAATTATGAATTGAGTGATTATTTAATAAGAGCTTTTGTCGGACGAATAAAAGCTTTATTTTCCTTGCCCGCTTATTTTCTTTACACTCTTCTCGAAGAAAAATAGGGGATAATGTCATAGTTTGTAAATCAATTGAAACTCATTCGATGATGGAGTCTGGCCATATTTGCTGTGTCCCTGTTTACCTCGGAAAAATGGCTCCACCTACATGGCTGCATAGGAAGAAACGGTATAGTAACGCAGTACTAGACTTAATTACTGTTATCTTTAAAACAAATTATTGAACCCGAAAATCTTGATTATTCTTGAAAAAAAATTTTTTTTATACAATAAGTTCTAGTTGGGGTCCCCCTACTTCGCACCCATAATAAAGTGGGAAAAAGATTTGAAAGAGCTATTTCGTGGTACATTGCTATTTCTCTTAAAAATGTATCGTGGCTTTTGATATATACCTATTACAGGTGGCACGATCGATCAATCCGTAATCAGAAAATGGTGTCTACATTGTGCAGATCTTTTTTGTGAACGTCTCTCACCTCTTACACATGTTTATGAGTCAAAAAAGTAGCCATTTACTTATTACCTACTTACTTACATTGCAAAATGCAAACCCAAAAAATTTACAAAATGCGGGGAGACAACAACACCCTCCCCCCCTTTTCTCATGAGAACGCCGGGGGATACCGGAGGAAGTGTACCGGCGCTTTCGCCGACGGTGTGTTTTTCTCTTTGTCGCACTGTTACAATAGAGGAAAATATATATAGGTATACAATGCATACCTTAAGATGTGAGCAAGCCACCCGAGGAGCTCAGTCGAGGCGTCGAAGTTGGGGAAGATAAAGTACCTACTACCTACACCCTACACACACATTACACACTGCTGAATCGGCGCAGGGCGCAGGGTCGTCGACGGTTTTGCACCATTATCTTCTCGTCTTGTCTTGGCTCTCGTCGTGCGGGTCGTGCCGCTCATCCTTTCATCCCATCGATCGAAGGATCAAAAGGAAAAACCTCGCGCGGGCGCGAAAAAACAGCATTACTACACCACTTGACAAGTCGTTACAGGAATTAGTGCTTTTTTTCCTCTGGTGGTGCTTTGATGAGCGTCTTCCGCATTTCTACTTTCATTCCTTGCGCAAAATTTTTTCTGTTTTTTTGACGTGATATTATTTCTATAATCGTACACGTGTTTCGCGGGATATTTGCGTAATTTGTACCAATTGTTGTCACTACTGTGAGAGAGAGAAGAGCCAAGGAAACATCAGGTGGGAGCCGCGACTAGCCGCGAGGATGCCAACCCTGTACCAACAAGTAAGTGCCTCTAGTTTTTTTCCTCTGTTTAAAGATATCTCTCTTTTTTTTTTTTTTTTTTTTTTTTTTTTTTTCATGCTATAAATATGGTACGGTCGAGTAGTGGTATCAGATCAAGTGCCGACTCACTTATATTTTGTTTTGATACAGATTTCTTCGCGACCATACTCATGCTGGATGGTAAATGTGCATTGCAAGTATAGTCTGTTTTTAATCGTCGTGCAAGTACCGACATGTTTTGTGATCACTTGCTCATTGCACTACACTCATACATACCTGTCAGGTATATCTTACGCGCGCGTTCGTGTGTATAAATTAAATTCATCTTCATCAAATTGCAAACAAAAGCATCAAAATCTTTATTAAGTCGTGAGGTCACTTGTGGTTGTAGACATGTCTTAACAAATTTAAAAATATTGCCCAAGCCCCATTTATTACCAATACATGAATTATCTACACCTCAAAGTCACAAGCGCTTCCTTACTGAGAATTTTTTGTTTACATTCAACCTCGCCTATAAAACCGTAGCACAAATTACCCAAACATTCCGATCCATCGTCTGATCGTGTTCAGAATAGTTTTTCATCACGCAAATGTGTATGAAAACGGGGGGGGGGGGTTGTCACGATGTGGGTATTCCAAGAATGCAACGACGCACTGTTTGTATACAATCAGGGTGCATTCGTACTTATCCCGGAGATCAATCTCCGAGCATATAATATACGCGTGTTACTTGGGTAATATTATATACTTATACCATCGCATCTTTTGAGTGGTTTCAGACACGTGTTTACGTAAATCCAAGTATGAACACGTGGTAAAAAAAAAAACAAAGGTATAGGCATGGTCCTTCCGTCTGCTTCCTAGAAATTCGAAAATTCAGTCGGCTAATGGTATTTGAGTTATACACATATATGTAATGCGCAAAGCTAAGGGGGTGTATTTTGCTCGGCTGTCAAGTCCATTGTGATCACGCTAAAATTTCTGGGAAGTAAAAGTAAAATCAAAAATATTGGTGAGCATTTTATTAAATTTACAGACTTGTCCGGTAGTTTTTCAGAGTATCTACTTATTTGGTATCATAAGTGTCGAGCGCTCTCGCTTGGATTAATAAAACTGTGCGCTTGTAATAAAAATTGTCGAGTTATAAGTAGTTGAACATTGAGTAGACGCATATGTCTGTCTTATTAAAATTTTATCTCTTTCCTTTGATTGAAAAATATAATTTTCTTCTTTCCATTACTTACTTTCCAGTTCCACAAGCTTTCAGTTTAATATTGTTTGTTTACAAGCCTTGGTTGTTTTCACGCGATAAAAAAGCTGTAGCTGTATCCTGTAGCTGCATATTCACGAAAGTGTCTACATTTAAATTTAATGACATTCGGCAATGATCTATTTTACGTATGTGTCGCCGTTTTTGACGTGCCTTTTAATTATTGCAGTTCTCATACGAGTTTGAGCCTGAAAAGAGCTCATGCACGCTCGCCGACTTGGACCTACAAGAGCCAAAAATTCGCAGTAGCAACAAAAGCTCCAGCAGCGCTAGTCAAATATCGTCACCAACGCTTAGGGCCCAGCAGTCGGTTTCTCAGGTATCTCCTCTGGAGAAGGCGACGATGCATCATTACGACGAGAGCCTAGGATCCTCCGAGAGAGACTGCCGCGAGGGCTTCGGGCTCCAGCAACACGAGCGCGAACAGCACCTACATCAGCTGCAATCCATCAACATGCTGCTCGATCTACATAGCCCCTCGTCCCAGAGTTCCTTCGCCAGCTCCAAGTTCTCGTTCGAGCCAGCTTCCACCGTCAATTCTGGATCTGCGTGTGTCGACGGTGAGTTTGCTCCATTTTCTTTATCTCTTTCCTTTGTCAGCTATGTTCGCCATGTTTAGCAATTTTCGGTGTTTATATTAGGATAAATATTACTGGAATTTTATTAATACCTAGAAGTTAAATCTTTTATCAATTTAAGGTTTTCATTGTTGTACAACACGTAAAGCTTGCCTTGTTACATATGACTTTTGTAAAATAATCGAGGAATAGCTTAGTCTATGTCCATTCGCGGAAATTTTCGCAAGAGATTACGTTTAAAATATCCTTTTATGTCAAGTGTAACATTGCGTAGTAAACTTACAAAACTTTAATGGAAATCAATGTTATTCAAAAGAATAGAGTTTTGTTAAAAGTTTGATGATTGAAAATGGTAAAAGATATTGATATTTGCTTTTTTGAATGTTTGATTATTAAAGTTATGCATGTTTACCCTCGCAATAATGGTGTTTACATTTACAAGAATCAAAAATATACTCCAAGTAACTTTAACTTTAATAATATTACATGTTTATTAACGTATCATTTCCTTAACTTCTTTTTTGTGATTATTGGCTTCTATGTCTATAAAGCCTAGTATTTATTTAAAATACACCTTCATTTTTGGTTTTTAACTAAAAAATATTCATTATTTTTAATACCATAGTTGATGATTTTTTTAATCACCATTCATTTGTCTATATGTCTGACGTATGCCGCAAAAACAATTAATTTCGGTATACTTGATAACTATTTTTTTTTATTTGCACGTCAACAGATACATCAATCGCCGATCTTTTTGGGCTTGCGCTACCACGAGGACCACTGATGAATGCTGGACAAAAAGATAAAAGAGGACAGACGGGTAATTACGACGCCTCCGCTTACCACAACTTTTATCAGGTAAATAAAAAAAAATTAAACGATCATTTAATCAGATCCCAATTGATAGCACTACTCGAAAAACTCTCTTTTCTGTAAAAACGACGACTATGTGTGTATCAAAAAAGCGTTTTTTCTTGGCAACTTGTAAACATAGCGAGCAATGAGCCGCCCGTAAAAGTGCCAAACAGCTAATGTATAGCCTCCGTACCGTCTTTACCATCCCGTAGCTTAACGCGTGTTTCATCCTGACGTCATCTTAGATCTCGGTCATCTTGGTAAACTGTCCGCATACAATATCCAGAACGATGATCGTCGGCTACTTTGGAGATCCTCCAAAAGCGATCCCTTTTGTACTTCGTTCTTGGCGCGTTAAGATTTGTCCCCCTCATTTTGGTGCCACTTGATTTTTCGTAACTAATCAGTAAAAAAAAAATTTAACATAATTTAAAACACCATACGTGCGCAATAAAAAAATTATTTTCCGAATGTACTTATTGCGTGGTTTGCAATATGACTGAAAAAATATAGTCATGTGTGAAGAAGGCAAATATTGCTTTGATTGATTGGTCACTCGTAAAAAATGCCCTGCATCGGCGGGCGACAAGCCGTTTCGCTCGAGGTTCTGGCAGTTTTGGCACGGCCATCCGCACAATGTCCTTCCAATGTAATAAAAGCCTGAAAATGCACTCACGCGTAGAATTTTTGCACAGCTTACGCCAGTCATTTTATTGCTCGCATTCCTGAAAAGATGCACATATTTTCGCGTTTAAGTACTTACTACCTTAAAGATATGACCCACTTTTTAAATACCCTAATATTGTCTTATTAAGATTACGAGCTCATAAATTAAACAAATAACATAGTTAATGATTCGTGTGTAAAAGAACGATTCTATAAAGGTAATTCAATTTATTTCACAATTATTTTCTTGCAAGGTATATTTTATGTAGCTTGCATAAGTCCTTAATAGATTTAAAAAATTAAATTAAACTTAATATTACAGGATTCGTCAAAAGTTTCAAGATCTCTTTTTAGTTTTTAAAATAATGTACATTTATATTGAGGGGAGACTATTAAAGTTATCATTTTTTTTCTTTTTAGTTTTTTCATGCATCCACCCTTTCTGCTTTTTTCTAATACTTGCCGCGAGCTTTTCTGCGATATTATTTTGGAGGTACTCCAGAACAGTGTCCAGGAGCTTATTGAAAACACTGCAACGATTCTCCTTGGTTTCTTTTATTATGGACTTTTTTACCATTGTTTTCCCAAGTCTTACAACTTTCCGTATGAATGAAAATTGATAAATAAAAATTTTAGTCTAGATGGCTTTAAAGAGCAATTTTTTTAATTGACTCTATTCATTTTTTTTCCTTTTAATCATACTTTGACATGTTTCACAAAAACAAAATATGGCTATTTGTACTCCACATTCAAGAATGCACAATTAAAAATTATTTTTCTTTTATAAGCTATTATGAGTAATTTTTTTTCTAGCAAAAAGAAAACGCACGCAATTACTACTCGAATCAAAGCATCATGGAATTACCAAGTTCTCCAACTTCCGTTAACACGCCAGAAAGTCCACATTCTGTTGGAAGCTATTATTCGAATACCAACTCTATCTCAAGTAAAAACAGCAGTCCGTACACCACAGGTTCGACTACTTCAACAAATTTCACCAAGCCGTCTTCATTTTCGCCTGCTCGCTCACCACCTTACGGCAGAGCAATTCGGGGGAGCTCCACGTCATACAGGTAAGTACTTAAGTCTTGTCAAACGAACAAAAATTTCAATTTTAATTTTTCAATACTAAAAATAAATTAAACATGTAATTATAGTAGTCCAGCTGCAGATATGTCGCCGCACAACTTTTTTTATAACGGTTCAAGGTCCGATTCTCCGGCAGACTCAAGTAATAGTACTGGTAGCGTTGATGGACCTTTAGCCGATATGATGGTATAGAATTTTGTTCCAAACTAGTACGAAACGATTATTGATAAACATTAATGGAAAATAATAATCATGAATTCCAGACTTACTTGTCAATTAACTCCAGAGAGCGAAATTGCTATCCACCATATCCAGCTACGCTGCTCGCGAAGGAAAAACACGTACACAACAACGGCAATAACAGAACAGTGGTACCCCCAGAACTTTACGAGGCACTCTGTATGCAGACTACGCGCTGTAATCAACGCCACGCTCCACAACAGCAACAACATTACCATCAACGCCATACGCCTCAACAGCACCATCAACAGTCGATAGGGCAACATCACCATCATCACTCGAGCTACAACCATCAATCACAAAATCAGCTCTACAGTCATTCACGAAATCGCAATGTCTACAGTAATCGTGCATACGATAATTCCAAGTCTGTTGTTTCATTCAACAATCAGCTGGCCTTGTACCAACAATCTTTGGATCAAGCCGCCAAATTTCATCGTAAAGCTGCAGGTAAGCATTATAAATGTATAATGTGCCCAGAAGTGAAAAAAATATTTTTTAATTTTTGTTTGCCTTCATGTTTTAAGCTACTTCTCAGCCTCTTTTTTCTTGGAGTGGAGTTTTGCCTCCTAAAACACAAAGGCCCATTGGGTATTCGTCTAAAGTGTTTTTAGGGGGAGTTCCATATGATGTCACAGAATCAGTCCTATGTCATGCGTTTAGGCAATTTGGTCAAATCCAAGTGGAGTGGCCGCATCCAATTAAACCGATGGGCTTTTGCCACGTTATTTTTGAGTCGGAGAAACATGTAATTATTTTTTCTTTACAAAAAATTGTTTGTCTATTTTACTTGACTTGACTTGATTTCGTTTTCTAATCAGGTAAAGGCATTGTTAGCCAATTGCACGCACAGTATCGAGAAGGGCGAAAATGTTTATCACTATAAGATAACATCAAAACGAATAAAGGGCAAAGCAGTAAGATTCCTTGTATTTTGCAATGCGTAAATTAGTACACACATCAATCATGTGTCAACTCATATTTTTGTAATGTATACAGGTACAAGTAATTTTTTGGGGCTTAGATGATGCCAACTATGTAAAATCACCATCACAGAAATTAGATCCAGAATTGACTGTTTTTGTCGGCGCTCTACATGGCATGATAACTGCGCTTGGATTGGCAACCATTATGAACGACTTGTTTGGTGGTGTTGTTTACGCAGGTAAGCGTCTTTGCTACAATTTTTCACTAATTAAACGCATGTTATATAATAAACTGTATTTATGTTCCAATTCTGATCAGGTATTGATACGGACAAGAATAAGTATCCGATTGGAGCAGCCCGATTGACTTTTAGTAACAAGGAATCGTATGAGAGAGCCATAAATGCAGGGTTCATTGAAGTAAAAACTGAAGACTTTAAGAAAACATTGCAATGTGATCCTTACATTGACGATTCACCATGTTCAAGTTGTTACGTTCAACAAGGTCCTTATTTTTGTAAAGAAAAGGTAAGAATAACTCTTTTTTTTTTTTATATATATATAAAAGCCATCTTTGTTACTATTTTGAACCAAATTAGATTTTTTAATCTTTTAATAGCCTGCATCAATCAAGCCTGAAAATTGACTGATTTTTATTCTTTCCGACAACTTGAATTCAGCATTGATTTTTGTATTTTTTTTACAGGTCTGCTTTAGATATTACTGCCATACTTGCTGGCATTACGTACATAGTCGTGAATCCGGCATAAGCTTTCACGAACCGATGTCCCGTGGTTCGAAGAATGTGTCTGTTAACACGTGTTTAGCGCTCATTTAAACATTAAAATGATTCTAGGGAATCCTTGTTTTACGGACATCGTTCAAATGGAGATGTACGTCACTAGTGTTATGGTCAACCGGATCACGCAGATTCTCTCCGACAACGGTTGACGAAATGAGCAGAAAAAGTTAAGCGAATGTTTAGTTGGAATTTATAAAATGTTCAGGGAGCATAATTATTGCGTGAAAAAAAAGTTGTTTTGTATTGTTTGCAGATCACTGCGCGATTAAGTTTATTATAGAGCCTTTTTTCCCTTGAATGGGAATGTTAAGTGTGTATGTGTGTGAGATGTTCTTTGTTCTCTAAGAACAAAGCGAGATTTTTTGGAAATGGGGTGATGAAAGTGTTAGTTACTTTCCCTATTACGAGAGAATATTATTTTTTTATTTGTTGGTATAGTCGTTATCAAGAACACTGGCCAGGATGTGTTCGAATATTGTTTTAGAGTATTTAAAAAAAAAAGTATTGTTATGATTATTTCTGTTATCATAATCACAATTCGAAGATTCTAGCTCCTTATAGAAATAGAGCCACGCACAGTCAGTTCTTGCATAATTTGATTAATTATAATATATATTNCATCAGGAGTCGATTTCAACCAAATCCTATTCTTTGCTGCTCGTTCAGTGCTCTACGTCAATTGTACCTACTACTTACAGGTATACTAGCTGTCTACTTATAAAAATGCAACGACGACGACGAACGTAATACTACGGAAGCTCGGTCACGACACTGTCACTCACGATAGTCACGATACGGCATCTGCGTAAAAATAGGGGTGTTTTCCGCAATCGTCACCAGCAAGTAATTTAAGGTTGCGCTCTACGTTACCATCAGGTCGGTAAGTCTTTTTTTTTTTTAATTTTGTGAAATTCAATTAAATCATTCATATCTTTGGCTTAAAAAAAAAAATCTTTATTTTCACTTCCTTTTCAAACCTATCTATCTATTTTCCTTCATTTCCTATCTGCTTACAATTATATGCTAATTTTTTTTATTATGATCCGTATGTATTGAGTCGTTAAGACGAGTTTTATTATGATATGCATGTAAATCGTCATAGTAACTCGTGATCGATATTTAAACTTTTTTAATGGCACGCCAAAAATCTACTGACAAAAAATGCATGCCTATTGTCTACTAAAATGTTTGAGAAGGCATGTAAAGCTTGTTGAATCAAGTCCAACATATAACGATTACAGGTGGTATAATTGAAGAGTAATTTTATCATCAAGCAATAATGAAAAAGCTTGCAAAATCCTATGAAAAAAAATTTTTTTAAACTTTTATCCTCGTATTTACTTCTGTTTTAATCAGTCGTGCCTTTTAACATTATCTACATAGTTTTTATTACGGCGATATGCAAATAAAATTATTTTAAGTTCATGAAAATTCAAACGTTTTACTAAACTTATAAAAATATTTGTTCTTAGTGATTTCAACTGATAAAAAAGACTGCAAAGTATTTTTAATATGTTGAGACGTTATATAAAAAGTGCCTTTATGGTTCCTTTATTTTTTTTAATTTGTAAAACACAGTTTTTAAATAGCTTTTAAGAATCGAGATTGTACCATTAAATAAGTATTGCCAAGCTCTTAAGCTCTTGCAGCGTTATTTTACAGTTTTATTTGTAGTATAGTAACTAATATGAAATAAAATAAATTTTCTTCAAAAAAAAAAAAATTGTTTTTCCCCATGATTTTATTATAAACATTAATTACATTTCAATATAATAACAAATATATTAATACTTGAACAATCAACTCTTGTATATAATAATAATTCCTCAACCAATTTTTTTTGTTTCTCTTATCTTCTTAAACTAAATCAACTATTTTTTTTCTGCATCATTCTTTTTGATAAAGCTTGATATACTCCTATAAAAGATGAAATAGTACCTAAGGCACCAACTTGCCAAGCTGAAAACTTTCCTCCCCATAGTGTTCCAGCTGGAAGGTAACTCACTGCATAGCTCAAGTCGAGTAGTAACCTTAAACAAATAAGCAGTTCGTTGTTCTGCTGGCTGTTGAGTTTGGCTTTATTAAATCTGCAATTAAATGATAAGTTTTTTTTTATCAATGATTGAAATAAAATTTTGTCACTTAAGGAACCTTTTAAAAAAATTATAAACACCTTGGATCAAGTCCTTGTTTTCTAAAACTAAATTCTTGCTTTTTAAGTAGTTTATATCTTCTCAGTGTTCTAAAAAAACAATTCCATATGTATATACTTGTTGGATTAAAGTTAATAATTTGAACGAATATAGGTGTTTACTTCATTAAAGACAAGTAGAGCGAAGCTATCCAAAACCACACTGTAGCATTGCCCCACTTCTCTGTATCCAGGGGTATAAGTTTGTTTTCCCCAGCCCAACATAAATGCTCCACTGGCCCATAAAAAGTATCCACAGCTATTTTAACCAACTCAATAGTTCTGATGAACCAATCAGGCTCCTGGATGAATGCAAACATTCATAAAATGAGCAGCATGTTGAACATTATTTTAATTCAGTAAGCATGATGCAGTAAACATACTTTTTGCCCCCATCCATAAGTCATGGCATGATGTATGTTTGGAATGTCATCCAAAAGTCTCAAAATGACTCTAGCACCACTCATTTTACTGCTGAAACACTTAAATTTCTCAGAAGTTTGATTGGAGGCTGGAAAGCCTGATGCCAGTTTAGCAGCATAGGAAAGTGTCCTAAGAAACTTGTCTCGACCTTCATAGCTGTCCAAGTACTCGGATATCACCTCGATGCTCATTTTTGCTCAGATAAGTACTTTCATTGGCAACTTTGAAAAAAATAAATGATCAAAAAATTTTCTAAAAAGATCGAAGTGATCGACAGACATGGTGTGCATGTATATAAAATATTGGCTTTGACTATATAGTATGCTGACAAACCTAGACAAGTATATTTATAAAACGCCTCAAATCACTTGAACGATGGATAAACGATTGATAAAAAAATCACAACAATGACGGTAATAATATATCACAAAATATTTTAATGGAAAGAGATCATGTGAGCTTTTTTGTAAAATGTTAAAGAGATTCACGTTGTTTTGCACTTTTTTACACTATACGAGTAAATTGAATAATAATTCGTGATGATTAAATATTAACTGTAGACCTAATAACATTTAACGTGAGTAACGTACTTCACGACTCACATACATCGATGCCAAGCACTATTTACTATTAAGTATTTATACTATTTAAAGTACCTTAAACTTAACCAATTAAACAGACACACAGCTAGAATACACGTCGTAAAAAAAGCACTCTCTTCTTGCACACTAAACGCTGCTAAAAGTCTGGCACATCAACACGTGTCAACAGTGTTGAGTCAACACACAACATAGTCAACCTCTCGTGTTGTGTTTTCGTTTATAGTGCATCAGCGTCATCTAGCATTGTGGATTTTGCGAACTATTTTCTATTTTCTATGAGGAAGTTTGCCTTGCAAGCTCAAAGTAGATGGTGGGTGTTTTCCGCAATCGTCACCAGCAAGTAATTTAAGGTTGCGCTCTACGTTACCATCAGGTCGGTAAGTCAACTACCTTGAATTAACTGGCGCTCAAGAAAAAAAAGTGAAGATTTCATCGCTGTTGACTGTCGTCTGCTATTTTAACTGGCCAGATTACGGAACAGAGCGCCAGTTAATTCAAGGTAGTTGACTTACCGACCTGATGGTAACGTAGAGCGCAACCTTAAATTACTTGCTGGTGACGATTGCGGAAAACACCCCTATTTTTACGCAGATGCCGTATCGTGACTATCGTGAGTGACAGTGTCGTGACCGAGCTTCCGTAGTATTACGTTCGTCGTCGTCGTTGCATTTTTATAAGTAGACAGCTAGTATACCTGTAAGTAGTAGGTACAATTGACGTAGAGCACTGAACGAGCAGCAAAGAATAGGATTTGGTTGAAATCGACTCCTGATGCCGATGTTGCCTCGAGGTTAAAAAAAAATATGGACGTAGACTTGTTAAGGCCTGGTACGGTGCCTATATCCCCGGATACCGTACTGTGGTTCGAATTTCTCCTGAACCCCTCACTTTTGGAAAAACACATTTCGAAGCCTTCGCCTGGTAAGATTGTTTATAATCTCATTTTGTTTTCAAATCTCGAAATCCGACGGTATACGGTACTTCAACGCTATTTTAACGATTTGTTTATTTATTTCAATTTCAAAGGACACCCAAGTAGAGTCGTTTTTCAGTTGAAAAATGATTTAATAAGTACGAACTATGCATGAACATACCTTGAATGCAATATTTATATCAAGTAATAGAAAAAAATTTCTTTTTAATTTACATGTATGGTACTTAAACTGTTTTTATAAACGTACTATAAGAAGTGCAACTTCTTGTTTTCATCTTACTTTTAAAATTGATGTTGAAGTGTCTTTAATGTTTATATTTACAAAGTAGGTACACTCAGTGGAACTCTGATCTGTCCCGGACCCTATTTCGGAACTATAGCGTGAAGTACTGTTCAATAATAGGGTCCAGGACAGATCAGAGTTCCACTGAGTGTACATAGAGGTTTTCACGACATGGTTAATACGTTATTACGTTATTATTTTTACAAGGTTTTCGAGTACTTTATCTGTATGGGTAAAAGCTGTACTTGGTGCCCACAGCATACTGTACATGAATCAAAGCCTTAAATTTTTTTGATTTAAATTTTCAGACCCCTCAGCAACAGATCTTATAACAAAATTTATTACAATCAACTTGGAACAAACTAATGAACAAAATACCAAGGTCATCGATGTCGAATGTAATGATGTCAAGGTCAACCCTACTCCCAAGTGGTCTTACAAAAATATTGCTTTAAAAATTCTTTCACTGAAGGTGGCTGCCTATTTGAAATGGGATTTAGATTTATTACTGGACAAATTACCACTTCACATACAAGTGGTATTGCTCCAAGATTTATTTTTCATTACTATGGACATTGTTGTTGAAATACCAGTGTTACCAGATAATCTATTGGATATTTCATCTGAAAGAGTGTTATTTACATTGGTTCTGTATCACAGATGGGTCTTGAAAGCTATAGTCAATAGAGCTCTGAATAATAAACTAGTGAAACCTTTTCCAAATAGGTATGGAAATTTATTCGCAGAATCTGATGAAAATGTTAAATTACTCTTTTTATTATCTGTTAATTTTGTATTTTAGTAATTCAGCTATTCAAGAAAATAGTTTTGCAGCATCTGCGATCAATGATGAGCTCATTAGAAAACTAGATGCACAAGCAGCCAATAGTATTCATTTTTTAAATGCAGTTCTGCTAGCAAAAGACTTGAAACCAAAAATTCTAAAATTTGATACTTTTCAAATACTGACGGAAGATTCCACAGAGGTCAAACAAGATTGGAACAATGTTTTTACAATTACAGAAGATGAATTGAAGTGTCAGGTAAATTTTTTTATAATTTCAGCTTTCTTCATTTAAAATTAAAAAAAAAAAAATTGCCACACAGATACATTATGATTTGGCGGTGTTTCATCTTTTGAAAGAAGAGAATAAACTTGCACAAACTCACATTAGTCAAGCCAAAGAGTTATATGCTAAACTTGATACATCAAAACCTTTACTGTATTGTAGCATAGAAAAAGAATATTTAGAGGGATATTGTCTTGCTTGTGAAGTACCTGTAGAAGGCAAAAGTCCAAGTCTTACAGAAAAATTATTTCGTTCTATCAAAAATCAATATGCAGTAAGTCAACTGTTTTTATGCAAATTTTTTTTAATTTCAGCTCATTGTCACCCATTAAAATCACATTTTTATTCTAGAATGTAATCGAAATTCTACAAGCTGATAATTTAGCTAGAGAAATAATTTTGGTACATAGAGACAATTTAGAATTAGACATCGAAGGTGGTGTCGCCAATAGAAAAATCGTTGTACCCCCTGGTCTGCTGCTGCAAATTCAGTGCCTCAATCTTGTACGTAGAGTTTTAGATAATGAAGTACTTCTTGGAAACTATGCATTTTACATTAGGACTGCAAAAGCTACAGGATTAGAAGTATTGTTCTGGGTAACTTTCATCAATCAAAGTAAATAATGTATGAAAACTAACATTATGATTAATTTCGAATTACTTGCAGGCTTTTGATGGTGTACTTGATAAGGCTACAGATTTAGATAAACAAAGGATAGCTCGTTATTTATTATATCTTGTTATCATGGGAGAGATTGACGGGCTTGCTAGTGCTATTTTAGCTAAGCCTAAATATGTATCTTTATTTAATGAAAAAGAACTAATGGAGATCAAAAAAGAGTCTTTACCTACAGAATTAGATATACCAAGTATTCTGTTGTCCGATGATTGGGATATTGAGCCAATAGAAAGTACATGTAAGTTTATCCCTCTTATAAACTGATCGGTTTGATGTTTAAAGTTATTTAAATTTTCAAATTATAGTTGTAGTAAAGAAAAATGAATTAGAACTACATCGATTAGAGAATCGTCTCATATCATCCTATGATCCACGAGACATTGAAATTTTATTAAGGCAAATAATGCGAGAAAATCCAAACTATCCAAAACCGCTTTGGCAGTTGCATCATTCCTGGGAAATCCCAATTCCTTTGCAGAGCGTCATATCTTCGATGCCTCAGGGCTTTTTAAAAGACTTCTTTTACATTTTGTTGGCAAAAAGTAAAGATTTGGCATTGGTGAAAGATTTTATGAAAGCAAAATCGTTATTAAAAATAGTCGAAAACGAAATACAACGAAATGCCCAAAGTTTGAATGAAGCGTGTCACAAGTCTTCACTTTTGGGAGGAAATAACATTGTGTATAAATTAACAAGGCTTGTTAGCTGGGAATTACTGTTGACCGAGATATGTCATAGTTTGTATGCATGGCCTCCCAATAAAATTTGTAAGTATTCTCAAAATGAAGTATTTATTTTAAAAAGCAGAATCCTGCAGAACATTTTAACAATACGATATATACCATAGGCGATACAGAGGCAGTGACAACTTTGTGCAAACAGTGCATAAGTACCATTCAGTCATCAGACCAGTTGATACCCAGACAAGAAATAATAGAATACTGTCTTGTATTCCTTTTGAACATGTCAGAATGGGATTATTTGATGAGCTTAGAAAAACAATGGAGCACCTGTGAATTTGCTGCTGCCTTAAGTAACGTAGCCAAACACAAAAATCAGAAATTTTCGAAAGAAGCTTGGGATATAGTTTTGGCAGCATGCAAACAGAACAGGGATATGCCTCAAAAACGTAGCAGTAGTAACAGTGGATCAGCGAATACTGGCATAATAAGAGACTCTTTGGCCAGCATATCTTCGACTCTATATCGTCTAAGAGAAGCCAATGTGTTGAACATAGCGATTTCCTTGCTAGCCAGATTGCACAACGTTCTGCGTGACGAAAGTTTTGAACTCAACGCTGTATATTTGAATATATGGCCTGCTAGTATTCCAAGGTGAGGGTTTATTTAAAATTTACATGTTTTAATCAAGGCGATTGGAATTTAAATAATAGTAACATATTTTTCCAGCCCAAAATCGTACAACCCAAAGATTATTAGCGAAATATTATTTCAACTTTTAACAATAGCTTTAAAATATTATCCAACTAACGTTCCTTGGCTAAGACTAATGGCTGACCTTAATTTTGGTAAGATGGTTACATTAATTCGGTAAACAATAATTTGAAAAAATTTTATTTTTCTCACAAAATTTTTTTTTAGTCTTAGGTCATCACGAAAGTGCTATGAAATATTATTTGGAGGCGATTATCGTGGCTACTGATTTTTTCACATTACCCATACGCAACCACATTGAAGATTCCGTATTTCGGAGAATGATAAAATGCTGTACTCATCTACAGTGCTACACACAAGCAGTTGTTCTATGTCAATTTTTAGAAGAAGTTGACTATCCGTTAGCATTTAAAATGGCTGGAAATGAAACTAAATCTGTAACTCTGAACGATGCCATGGATGCTTATTATAACTGCATTTGGGATACCACCATACTAGAGTATTTGATAAATTTACACGCAAAACGGGGAGAACATCATCGTAAACAACTTGCGGTAAACTAAGTCTTTCTCAAATAATTTAACTTGGAAAAAAAATGCTAAAATAATAGTTGCGTTGTGTGATTTCAGATAAAAAATATCGGCCTTTTGGAACTAAATTCTAATAATAATGAAGAAATTCAGAGGGAAGCTGCTAACGTACGAAAAGCTAGGTTTTTACGAGCATTATCGAAACAGTATGTATATAATGTTTAAAATTAAAAAATGTACTGTACAACCAATGAAAGTCAGATGAATTTAAACTGTATATTTGCAAAAATGAGCTTTTGTAAATATTCGACATTGTTAAGAACTAAAATAAATATTTATCAAAATCAACGAAACGTTGTTCATTACTTTGGAACTCATTGAAAAGGTACACTAAAAGACCCACTTGCAAATTTCTGAAAAATCGTTATGTTAACCTAGGTACATGTAAATAAATCTTCTTAATTGGTAAATAAAAATTGCATTTGATCAATCAAACTTATTTACGAAAAGATGTTGAAAAGATGAAAGAAAAAAAATGGGTTAAACAAAATATAATTGTTAGTTGGTTTCAAAAAAAGAGAAAGTAAAAAATAGCAGTTCGTAACTGCTGAAAAATTTTAGATAAAGGGAATTAATAAAACAAATTTTCACTAGGGCAGTTTGCATATGTGTGAAAGAAATGTAAGGAAATTAGGAGATAAGTAGCAACTGTGAACGTAAGCGCGTGCATCAAAATATATTTATAAATTACGTAGTTCATCCATAATAAGTAACAAATGTTAATTTATTTTCAAATTTCCCTCTTATCTGAAAAGCCTCCTTAGTGTGGTGGCGGCACTGGCGGTGTTATATATATTTTTTTTAACCTCTGTTAGCAAGACTTTAGAGATTTCAGTCAGTTTCAGTCTTCTTCAGATCAGATATTTCTGTAGGGTTATGTTACAATACTAAATTACGAGTAATAAAAATAGTGCATGGTGAATTTTGTAGCCATAGTGGCCAGTGCCAAGTTATAAGTTTGTCAGTGTTATAGTTGAGTTGAACGTGAATCTGTATACATATTTACAAGTTTACAGCGTAAACATCTTGTACGTCGTCTGCGCACCATTAGTCGACTTGTGAAAAAAAATCTGGGGATTTTCAAGGTGAGAAAGGAATAACAGCAACTTGTTTAATATAAGTACACGTTCTTGTGAATAAGTAATTTCAGAAATTACATTAACATAATAGGGCTATAATAAAAATGGAAGAACGTTATTGTTGAGCGAGGACATCATATTGGTTTGATGCGGGAAGAGAAAAACATATTCGTATTTTGTCGTGTCGTATTGCGATTTATTTACAATGTCAAGCAAATCGTGCATTCAATTTGCATTTTGCACACATACTCATTGAAGTGTTTTGCTTTTGTTTTAACCGAATCTTGAAAGTTGGGGTCGAAAATTGCAGTGGTTTAAAATTATCGCCAGTACTCGGAGGTCTATGAAGAGATTTTTTCTTTCTGTTTATCATTAGAACTCTTTTGTATTGCCCACATAATGTATTGATGGGTCCAAGCTTTGTTGATTGTGGTCTCTCTGAGAATGAAAACATAACCCTGTTCTTTTACCAATATACATACACACCCACACTTTATTTACACTAATAGCTTACTTCGCCTCTAATACTTGTATGCAACACATGTTTATCTTGTTTTCGGCTATGCAAATCATGTTACATAGACTTTCTTTACTGACATGGTGAAAAAAATTTATGAAAATCAATGCACTACAGGTGTGTTTATTATACTTTTATTTCAGATGTCGAATGAACATGATCACAAGCATCGTTACAAAAATTTTGGTCTTGACTCAAAAGAGTTGAGAAGACGCAGAGAAGAAGAGGGTGTACAGTTAAGGAAACAGAAAAGAGAGGAGCAATTGTCAAAAAGACGCAATGTTCCTAAAGTGGTTGATGAGGACGATGGGGTTACTATAACAGAAGACTTTTCAGTTTCAACTACTAATCAGGTAAGTTTTTATAGTGTGCCTTTTCACTGAAGTTATACTTTATTAATACTTCTTTAATTACCATATAAGGACTCTTCAGCATTTTCCTCATTAGTAGTCTTGTTAATGAGACACGTTTCCTTTTCAGTAAAATTGATCAATATCTCATTCTCCAACATTATAGATCTAAGGGAATCATCCAATGTAATCATCATAAATGTTAAATTATGTGTTGCAGCAGCCTCCTGGAATTACCTCTGAAATGGTACTAGCCCTCTATGATCCAGATGTCAATAAACAGTTAGAGGCAACTCAAAAGTTTAGGAAACTCCTTTCTAGGGAACCAAATCCACCCATAGATGAAGTTATACAAACCGGAATCATACCTAGATTTGTAGAATTTCTCAAAAGTAAAGATTGTGTTGTACAGGTGGGTTACGACTTATCGACATTAATTTCAGGATCAAAGAAATTACCAGAATGCTATCACTTGTTGTTATTATTATTATTATTATTATTATTTTAAGTTTGAAGCTGCTTGGGCTTTAACAAATATTGCCAGTGGAACGTCACTACAAACCCGAGTGGTGATTGAAGCAGAAGCAGTACCTTTGTTTATAGCTCTATTAAGTAATAACTATGAAGATGTACAGGAACAGGCTGTGTGGGCTCTGGGTAACATTGCAGGAGACAGTCCCGAGTGCAGAGATCACGTTTTAAGCAATGGAATTTTACCACCTCTTATTGCGTGAGTTGAACAAAGTTTATTTTTAAGTATACATAGACGAGAGTTTTCTTGCCTCATATCGTAATAAATATTTATTGTACAGGCTTCTTGAAAAACCAACGCGTCTATCTATGACCCGAAACGCCGTCTGGGCTTTGTCAAACTTGTGCAGAGGAAAGAATCCTGCACCTGACTTTCAAAAAGTAGCACCTTCTCTAAATGTACTAGCGTATCTGTTGAATCATCCAGATGCCGATGTTTTAGCTGATGCATGTTGGGCCATTTCTTACTTGAGTGATGGACCATACGAAAAAATTCAAGCTGTTATCGATGCTGGCGTTTGCCGGCGTCTTGTTGATTTATTAATGTGAGCAAAAAATTTTATACTTTGATTTTGTAAACTTACTTTTAACAGTTTAATACCTACACATATAAAATAATCTTGATATCCAGGCATGAGCAGAATAATGTCGTAAGTGCTGCATTGAGAGCTGTGGGCAATATTGTTACTGGTGACGATGTTCAAACGCAGGTTGTTTTAAATTGCGGAGCACTGCCTTGTTTGTTACATTTGCTCGGACAATCACGAGAAAACACCCGTAAGGAAGCTAGTTGGACAGTTTCTAATATTACCGCTGGAAATCCACAGCAAATCCAAGCTGTCATAGATGCCGAAATCTTCCCAATTTTAATCGAAATTTTGGCTAAAGCCGATTTTAAAACACGTAAAGAAGCTGCTTGGGCCATTACTAATGCTACAAGTGGAGGAACAGCGGATCAAATTCGATACTTGGCAAATCAGAATTGTATTCCACCCTTGTGTGAATTATTGTCAGTGACCGATGCCAAGATCATTCAAGTAGCATTAAATGGATTAGAAAATATTTTGCGGCTCGGAGAGCAAGATGGAGCTCTCAACAGTGGTATCAACCCTTATGCCGTACTTATCGAACAGTGCTTTGGTTAGTATACCTTTGAAAATATTTTAAATAATTTCGTTTCTAATTAATTTATATTGTTGTTTATTATTTTTTCTACAGGCCTTGATAAGATTGAATTTTTGCAATCCCATGAAAATTTGGACATTTACCAAAAAGCCTTTGACATTATTGAACATTACTTCAGCCAAGAAGAATATGACTCGAGAATTGCTCCGAGCATTGATTCACAGGGTCAACAGTATCAGTTCCAAACCCCCGACTCCACCACTCAGCAGTCTGTTCACACTTTCCAATTCTAAGTCGAAGAATCGAAATTTTACTGTAAAGTGTATACAGGCATGCATTACTTTTAGTCTATCGAATGAGCTACTGTCCATTTTAGGGAAACTTGTGATCTCTAAAAATGAAAAGGATACAAAAAAATTATTCTGTACTCATAATATTTTTAAACTTTCATTTATTTGATATTTCTCATCCACTCTTAATTTTTCTTCGAACTTTTGCGCTTTTTATTAGTATTTAAATTTTAAATCTAAAATTTTAAAAGCAAACTTCATATGAGTTTTGTAGATTATGAGTTTTTACGGTATAAGTTGAAAATATTTGTTAAGTGATTTCTTGTATTCTTGATACACTTACTGTAAAAAAGCTTTTAATTATTTAATCTGTAATATATAACAATCAGTTCGATTTCAATTGAAAAACAGAAGATATTAGGTGAAAAAAAAAAAAAAAATAAAATAAAATAAGAAAGCTTACAAGTGAAGATTAGCTGAAGTAATAACAAAAAATCATATACGTGTGTGATCACTGATCAGCTCTCTTCAGGCTATGTGTGCCCTTCACAGAGCACGCTTTGAGTTACTCTACTGACTGTCAGCAAATCAAACTTGAAGCAACGGACATTACCTCGTTCGACGTTAACTGACCCAGAAAAACTTATACGAATACTTGCAATGACTTGCAAGACGATAAAAAAGAAACGACTGAAGTACGCGACTAACGTAGCCGAAATACAGACAACACTACGCAACTCGCTACTCCACTCATTACCTACTTTAAGTAGGTACATGACCAATAAAACGTTTTTTACTGTAAATACGTATCTCGTAATTTACAGGCCATTCTATACAGGGTGCCCTTAATCGAACATGTGATAATAAGCAATGGTAATATATGTTTTACAACAGAAAAATCGGAAAAAGTAGCTGATATATCATATGTAATATATATGTGCTTCAATTAGTTATTTTATTGTAAAAAATATTTTATATTAAGCAAATCTTTAAAATAGATTGGTGTTTACTTTTTTTTAAATTGTTTATGGTTTTTATTTGACAAAATTTTTTTTGCTCAGTAATTGTTTAAGTTTACGTGACTTACAGTAAAAAGTAAAAAAAAAACCAGATGTATATTTAATTTTTATTTTTCAATGTTCTTGAATATAAAGGTGTAAAAAACAGTCATTATAAATTATTACCAAAAATTATAAATGGCTGTTGGAATGTAAAAAAAAAATTTTTTTAAATTGAACATTCTGTATAAAAGGTCTGTGAGTGTATAAAATGTATTTATTTTTAGGTTCGACGCTACGATACGAACTTACTATATAAAATAAATGCTATAAACATATACTACATATTTTTAGTTACCGACGTGTAATAAGACGAAAAGTGCTATGATAAATGATATTTTGTAGTTAAATTTTTCTTTTCTGGCACGATACCAACGAGCTTTCATTGTCATATTCTCGTGTTTATTACAATCAGAATCGAAAAATTATAGAAATACGAAGTTATTGAATTTTTTAACTAAGTTATTGACAGCAATAATTTTTTCTTTGTTGAGTTACTCCAATGGGGAAAGTGACAATGAAATTTAAACAAAAACGATGTTGTTGAAGACCACAAAGACTGCCGACTGCTACGCCACAATGCGAAAAAAAGAATCAATAATGTTAAATAAAGATTTAAATTCGAGAAAAAATTGTGCAATATTTTCAATTAACCATGAACAAAATTAGCAAATGTTTGGTGGAATCAGATACGTATTTTTCCATTTATAAAATTTGTTTTTAAGTCAAATGTAGTAGAGAAAAAAAAGTAACTTTTTATTTGATCTTTACACGTAGTTTACTGACGCTACTTATACGTTTTAACTACGTTGTAACTTTTTTGCTGATTAAAAGGCTGTATTTTTATGTGATTTTCTTTATTTTTTCTCTCTCATAGTTAACTTTTTTTGTTTGATTTAAATTTGTTTCACATTTTTTTTCTTATGTAAAAGGTCCATAGCATATGAGGTTCAATAAAAAAAATAAATTGATTTTACTATAGAAATCCTTTATTTTTTCACTTTACGTAATTGCTTCAAAGTATTTCACCAGGATTCCATAAAAAATTAAATATCAAATTTCTATGTACATTACATTAAAGGTCAATAATAAAACTTAAGACTGTATATAACACAGATAGGATTTTTAGAAAAATATTAAATATATTTATCAAGTTACAAATATTAAAGCACACTTTAAAATTACAGAGAGTCAAAAGCTCTAGTAATACAGACGGTTTAGTTTTTTGAGGCTTTGGGCAATGGGCAGTCAGTAACAGTGGGTTCAGGCTTCACTATTGAGACATGTCCATCTGTTATTCTAGTGATCAAAGGCTGTATTGCATCACTTTTCATTTTTCCTTTCAATTTTTTAGTCAGTTCATCTTCGAGAAATTTAGTTGGATTCCTTTCTTTGTCAAAGTTGTCAGCGACAACAGTAATTATGTAAATCACTTCTTCCACAAGGGGATTAATTCTATCACACAAATTGTGGAATGCTTTCAATGCTTCTACATTTATGTTCAAAAGATCCCATATTACCTATGAAAAAGTTAAAAAAATTGATCAGATAAGTTTTAACATCTAAACACTTTATCATACATCATAAAAATTGACTTACAACAGCTTTGTGCGTCTTAATCTTTTTACGCATTTCTTCGATTACTGAGCCCGTGTCATGATCAAATTCGTTAGGTGTAAGCATCAATCTACCACTATTAAGTGCATTACTGCTAACATTGCTCAACAAAGTAGCCAAACAGTCCAGTGGATCTGACTTTTCTCCAAGTAGCAATAATATAGAGGGCTGGTGCGGCCGTTTTATAATATCCGATATACCGTTATAAGCGTTGTGCCATAAATCTTTGTCTTGATTTTTGTATTTTGATTTCAAATTCAACAAAGTTGCTTTAACATTCTCCAACACAGAGTTTACCAAATTATTTGAAGAAATATTTTCTTTGGGACTAAAAAAAATTGTCGTATTTAAACAACCGTTTGTCAAAGCAACAACAATCAACAATACTACTACAAAAGTGAGACATTTCCACCAATTGTGGTTGCAATTTGTTTGCATTTGATTATTAGGAAGCCTAGTTAGAGTTTCAACTTTGTTTAGCGGCGATCTTTCAATTTTGCTTGGCATGAGAAATTTGGTTCTGATTTCCGGAGATACCGTTTCTCTTTGCCTTTTTCGAGGCTTATCCGATGCAAGCGTTTCATTCATAAATCTTTCCTCGGAAAGTCTTTCTCGAATAAGGAAATCCAAATCGTCGTCTATATTAAAAATTTCCTCGTCATCCTCGGCTTCAGATTGACTGCTCGAACTCGATTGTGCCATGTTTGTGTTTTTGTCGTTGTCTCGAATTCTATTGAATGACATTGTGCTGTGAATAGGTTTACGCTTTTGAGGATCTAACTGAAATATGTCCCATTATTTTTAACACGTTTACAACATGGTTTAACACATTACAATAACTTTTAATTTTTATAACCTCTCAATCGATGAAACACAAAATCGTAGAGTATATACACTTTAAACTTACAGACTTGCGGTTGCGATACATCGCTAGTACATCGCCACCAAAATTAAAGGGTCGTTAACATGTTAATCTCTTGTTTACATCAGTGAAGAACATTTGAGCCAGAATGCCATAAGACTGAAAAGACTATTGAATAGATGAAAAACAAATCTGGTAAAGGGTAAGTATACAATCGGCAAATAATACAATGAATACAGGTATAGATTTTAACGTATTGCGATATTTGTGATGGCTAATTTTTCATCACGCTGCCTCTTGCCTGATGAGTCTAGCGTAGTGACTACTGTTTTCTATTGGCTGCTGATGTGATCAGTGGTAACCTAAAAAGGACAGCACCAATCATAGAAAGGGGCCAAGAGAAAACAGATGGCGATTTCGGAACGGTATGCCCAGAGATGAGTATATCCACCCGAGATCGATATTAGCATTTAAAGCATCGTGCCAACCTAACAGATGAAAAGCTTATGTTTTTTCTCCTTTCACAACGTCAACAGCAACGTCATATTTTTTTTTATCTTCGCAAGAAAACGAAAAAAAGGATATTCTGTTAAAGTATTTCAGTGTAAGAAGGTGAAAAAGTGTTATTATAGACCGATAAAAAGCGAATGAGGAAAAAAAGAGCAGTATTGTATACATGTCGTCAGAAAAATGTGTTTTGGTCCGTTCAAGAGGATTTGCAGTTGGGGGCCTCTTATTGCACTTGGTATAATTTATGTTTTTAATGCTTTTATCCAAATTAATTCGTTTTGTTTTTCATCTTTGGGTGTATCAGTGTCTAAAAAAGTTTATTTTTTGGTGTTATCAATCTCTTTGTAGGTATAATGAAAACATAGCCCAAATCAAAGTATCTTTTAAGTTTTCAATGAATTGGCGATCTTGATTTAGTTATAGCGGAAAATTTTGAATATTGACATACTTATTTAACACATTTTTTTCTCTCTCAGCAATAATACAAACTGTTATTTTGACGACAATACACTGTAGCAGGCAGTGGTGGAAATTTTATCAAGATCCTTCCTCTGACTATACTTTTATGATATTTATAACGTTTAGTGGTCTAACTCTGTATCACTTTTTCAACTCAATTTACGAAGGACCTGGTTATCTTCCACTTAATTGGGCTCCAGTAAGTGTGTAAAATTTATGATTTATCGGAAACGTATGAAATCACATCTAATGAAATTATGTAAACATGTTTGCAGGAAAATGAGAAAGACTGCCAATATTTACAGTATTGTAATGTATGCCAAGGATATAAAGCTCCACGTTCACATCACTGTAGAAAATGTATGTAAATATCAATTTTTATTTTAACATTTTTACACTCAAGTTGCATTTATCAAATGTACTTTATTTGTAGGTAATAGATGTGTTTTAAAAATGGATCATCATTGTCCGTGGATAAATAATTGTGTGGGCCATTCCAATCACGGTTATTTTACTGCATTTTTGACCAGCTCTGTTGCTGGATGTGTCGTATCGACCTATATAATGGTAGTTTGGTTGATGGCTGTATTCTCAACCAAGCCTATGCTGTTTTACCCACCTTCAATATTTACTCTAGTTACAGTTCTTTTTAGCATTGGTCTGTCAATTGGTGTTGTGATAGCAGTGGGAATGCTTCTGTACTTTCAGGTAAATGGTAGCTTGTTTTGAGGGTTATTGTAACAACGTAATTCGTATTAAAGACATAATTTTTTTGTTACAGGCGCAATCGATAATTAAAAATCAGACTGGCATTGAAAGTTGGATTTTAGAAAAAGCAGCTTACAGGACATCTCTGACAGGCGAGCTATTTGTTAATCCTTACTCAAAAGGCTGGTGGTTTAATGTGAAACAAGTTGTTTCATGGCACTGTGCTGCACCCGGGGATGGAATAGTCTGGCCTGTTGTAGATGGCTGTGATCAGTATACGTTAACTGTAAGTATCATTTGAAAAAAAATTTTTTACTAGACCTATAATTAATTTTTCTTGTCTCTCACAACAGCGTGAACAGTTGGCTCAGAAACAAGAAAAACGTAAACGAGCCAAGAGGTACAGAGTTGTAGCACGAGCGACAGGATCTTGGGTTCCAATTAGGTTGTTAATGTTGCTAATGATTTTATCATTTATGAAACTTATTTCTTATTATAAACGTATTATTTTTCATTTTTCAGTCATGGACTTAGAGTACTGTGCACACCGCCAATTACCGATGAACCCCGTATCAAACTAAACATTGGTGATACTGTCATTGTAACTCGTTGGCGCAAGTAAATATAGTTTCTTTGTATAAACATAAAAAGAATTGTCTCAAATTCCATTCTAAATTCAATGCCTCTTTCACAGAAACTGGTTATTTGGAGAGAAAGAGAACTCGGAAATGATGGTCGAAGGTAAAGACACGCGAGTGCGAGGCTGGTTTCCTCGTCCCTGCGCAATTCCAGTTAGTGGGAAAGACCTGGATTTTGATTCCGAAACCGATCAAGACTTGCAGTGTCTTCAAAGTGAGTCTACATCGACGAAGTCTACCGCGAAAGCATCTTCCAATCATGAGTTGAAAAAAGCGTCCCCGCAAGTTTTAGATAAAAAGGACAAATGACATTAAAGTTTATAAAGCACACAAAAGCGATTAAAATTTTTTTTTCACTATAAGATAGTACATACTCCAGGGGCTCTATTGAAATTGGTGTTTTGAAAATAATCATTCAGAAAAATCTACCCTGTTTTTTTTTTTTTTTTAAAGTGCCTAAAAATGCCAACAATAGCAACAGCATCGCGCTAATCCGCTTTCTATTGTCCTCGCACCCTACATACATACATACGTACCGGCTTGCAAGCTCTATTTAGGTAAAAAGTCATGTGCTCAGTCCTACGTCGGACAATGCTCCGCGCCCTCGTGTATCCAGGATGCCTTTGCCGCTGGACAAAGTCGCGCGTTCGCTCAGCCGCACACCGTCACCGTCGCCCATATACATATGCAACACACAGAGAGTTGTAGTACAAAACAGAACGCGCGAGCTTTCGCCCGAAATTCGCGGGTCAATTGTGCTTGATTCCATTGGTGGGCAATCAGGTCTCGCTTCTCTCTTGTTTCCGTCGTTGCGAATATTGTATATGTTTTGCAATGCACGTGTGCCCCCCGGCGACTTTAAACCGCGCGTCACGGTTGTTCCGCTCAAAATGTTTTGCCGCATAACGAGCTGCCTATACATATATGCATATGGGGAGGAGCTTATAATATATACTCCTTTCGCTTTGCCGCGTTACCGTCGCGGAAAATCAATATAATAAAGCTCCATCCTGCTGTCGCTTCCCCGTGGTGTAAAGCTGTGCGATGAACGTGCATGCATTTGGGTGTAAAATATACATACATGTAAGCATGAAAATGAAAAGGATTGAAGCTTTTGCCTCGAAACGTTTTGAGAGTTTGTGGTGTATTTTACGTGTTGGTCGGGGCGAAGGGGTAGAGGGTAGAGAAAAAGAGACACGCGATTCAATGGGCCGCTGTCTGTCACGCAGAGCTTAATCTGCCGTGTCATACAGGTTGTGCATGGTGTTTTTTTTCTTATTTTCTCGGTTTTATTTCTAAGCTGGTGTGTGCAGCCAACCTAACGGGAGGAGCTCTGTTTGTTTTATCCGATAACATCGATTTGTCACCGTCAAACGTGACATCATGTTTGTGAAACTTGTCGAGTTCAAACAATTTTATAAAATGTATATTGAAAAAAAAAAAAAAAAAAAAATTAACTTTAACAAAATAGAAATACATACATGCGTAGTTAGGAAAAAGAAAAACAATTTCTCGCGCGCATTTACATGAATACATGTATAAGTTAGCGAAATAAAAAACGTGTTGGCGTATACATATTTAGTTGAAGTTGCGTTGGGATATACAACGAACGATGTACATAGGGTATTATGCACACAATGATTCAGCGTGGAAATTGTGGAATGTTTTGAATCGCGTGCGCTAGTAGAATTGAAAAGACTGCAAGTAGGTATATGTGTGGCGTCTCACGTCTCTCGTGCTTCAGGCTCTACTCGCCAGGTGGCCAAGCCCCTAATAATTATCTCCCGTCAAGCGGTGAAATTCCCGCACGATTAGTATATAAGCGCGATCGAGTCATTCTGAGCCCACACCTCTCCTGTGTCTAAGGCAGGGAGCACGTCATCAGCCTTACTGATGAGTCCTGGCGTGCTCTCGGGACGAAACACCTTTTTCTCTCTCTAGTAGATAACAATCGCTACATATGTACGTTTAGAAAGAAAGGTATGCCCGACCTTTCGGTATTTCTATAGGTACCTACGTTATATGCACGTGTGTATGTAAGTGCATCGTACAAACCGTAATAGGTAATTTCAGTAAGACAGGTTTATACTGCATGACATACACATAAGTATAGTATACACTTGAGGTTTTATCCTTTTCTTTCTTCCTTCCTTTATTCATTTTTTTTTTTTTTTTTTTTTCCTTTAATATGCCTACAAGGAGCAATGATTTATCGCGGTCGTGGTTTGATGACGTGCGTGTCGTGGATATACGAAAAAATTTACCAACCGATAAAAAAGATATAGATTGTCCTGTGTATGCTTGCTCTATATATTTTTTTTTTTTTGCTCGTGAACCGATACGCGAGTTTGTTCGATTTGCATTGAGTTTAAGAGGCGAAAGGCCGATCTAACGCGGAATGTGTGTGGTATGTACATTTGACGTTTGAAAGTTTATATTTGTTATACTTCTGGTGGATAGTGAATTTTTTAGGTTTACGATGTGGTTGTTGATTTTTTTTTTATAATTTTGTAGGTTCATGATAGTTGACGGTACTTGGAGAGAACAAACAAAAATCACGTTGAGGGCGCAAGTAATAATAGTTATCGTTACGCAAAATCAAATCGTAATATATTCGAATCGGACCAAGAGGAATCATTCGGCGTATAAAACATAAATTTTCAACTACCAATACCCATAATCGGGTATAAAAATATTGTGAATGATGTGCGGAAAAAAAAAAAAAAAAAAAAGAAAAGATTTTTGTACCTCAACTCAAAAATATATATGTATAAACATTGTTGTGATGAAAATAGCAAAATGTGGATCGTTACAGTATGGCGATTGTAAATAGAGAAAAAAAAAATTACTCACGAGTCAACATTGAGAGATAAAAACCAAGTATCGACGAAAAAAAGTCTCGAATTTTTAAAAAAACGCCCCTTCCCTTTTTCAATCGCATAAAAGACTAATATAATAATTGCAAATGTGAAAAAAAAAAACAAAAAAAAAACAAAGTGCTAAATGTCCTTGCGGCATTGAAAGTCCCGAGTAAGTGGGGTAAGTACGTTAGCCATTGAAGTGATATGTATCGTATGTACATGCAGATGAGAAGATTTTGGCAAGTGTGTCGGACCAAATGGGCTCTTACATTCGCTCTCGCGTAGACACTTTTGTGATATTACCAATAACAGCCTTGACAGAATCGACTTGTAAACAGAGAATGGGTACATACGTATCTTGGTATTATTTTTCTTGAAAGACGTCAAGCAACGATTCACATTCCAACATGGAAGTAATTTACCGAAAGAGGAAAAAAGGCCTTTTAAAAAAAACTAATTTAAAGAAAAGTGCGGGTGCAAAAAAAAAATTTAATCATGAGCTACGTCAAGGACGGAAAACGGGATTCGATGCAAGAACAAAGGCAAGGTAAGTATGTATTTTGCAAACGTCGTGATTTTTTCGTGCGTACAAGTGTGAGTTTATACGTACGGACAAGTGAAAGTGACAATTATTAGCAAAAGGGAGGTGTATATATATATATATACGTGTTGTGACATATTGGTAGGTGTGCATGTATATATCATCGAGTCACCGGGAGAGCAGTGGAGATATACTTTTTGTTCGATGGTGGGATCTTGACGTGCAAGTGGGGCCCATATACGTACACGCGTGGACTCGCAGTGTCACTCCGTACCTTTGCAAAGAACGAACGACAGTGCGCGTTGTTCTTGCCTGGAACTGACGAGTGGACAGTTGCTGTTGATCTTCATAGTATACACTGTAATTATCTCTTTTGTGTGATTTGCCCCCTTTTTTTTTTTTTTTTTTTTCATTGTTATGTGTTTCGATCTCCAAGAACGATGGCCCTTATGGTCCATTTTATTGTACCGAGTGTGACAATTATTTTATTTTTATCTTTGGAATCACCTCATTCTGGTATACATCGAGTTAATATTAATTAAGTATGAAAAATCTGAATTAAAATAACAATTCAACGTGAGAAATTTGTCATACATGTTTCCATTGTAGCCGTCGATGATAAAAATACAATATAATTTATGTACAGCTACACTCAATGGCGATCGGAACCATTATACTTTCTTCAATCGTACGAAACAAAAGTAGACGAGTAGAATACAAAAAAAAGAGAGAGAAACTGTTTGAAAAAGTTTACAGGTGATCCGGTGAACAGAGTCGGAGAGCAAGAGTCGATCAAGTGAGACCAAAAAGCTCCTTTTTCATAACAATGTACGTAGCAACTGCAATACTATTGGCTGGTTTGTCGGTTATCGCCAGTGGATTTCCGGATGGCGCGCCGGTGGACAGTTGCGTCAAGCCCAGGCCGAATCAGCCGTACCACGGCCAAGCCAGGCCCCAGCCCCTGGCTTCCAACCCCTACCGGCTGATCGCCTCGACCGACCACTACGAGCCTGGGTCGCAGATTACTGGTAAGTTTTTTTTTTTTTTTTTTTTTTTTTTGACAATCAGAAAAATTGAAGGAGCTANAAATATGTATGGGAGGATGGCAAGCTTTTTCTCTACCAACTGAGGTGATTTTTTTTTTTTCAGGGGCACCGTACTAAGGGATTACTCGACTTTCTGGTCTGACATTGTTTCGGAGGTTGGCCAGTGAGCGTACATGGTGTACCTACCTTTGTCTTTATATTTTTTTTTTTTTTTTTTTTTTTTTTTTTTTTTGACAATCAGAAAAATTGAAGGAGCTAGATTTTATCGCGGATTTCAATGCGCAGAGTTTTACCATACATACAGGATTCTTATCAATGGGGCCGAAAAACTGAGTCCGGAACGTGCTTTGATCGTCAATAAATAATACACGTGTGCAAAATGTACATCCACATCTCGCCGATTAAACTCCAAAATTTACGAGTGCAAAGGGCGCAAGTATAGGTAAGCCTTAAATTATACGGGTATAGCGCGTCTGGCCAAAGGTTGGGCTACTCTACTGACGCGTGTTATATCGTCGTAGGGGACGTTTTTCCGGCTTCGTTTCAAATTGTACGCGTTATCTTGATATTCATCCTATCCGGGACAAATAACGCGAAATCAAAATACGAAAAATAAAAAAAAAAAAAAATTGCGTGCGTCGCGTTCCACCTCCTGGATGTATACAAAATATATATATGCATGGTATCCCCATTCACTTTCCTGTATGAAAATCTTTCTTACGAATAAACGTATCCTCCTCATAATATTTTAGTACTTTTTCCGTCGTTTATACAAAGTACACGTACATTATACCATTTACCAGCCTACAAGGTCCTGCGGCAAGCCAAGGATATATTATATTCTACGCGCAGAGTCTTTGTGTGTATGTACGATCTTAATCGGACCTCATTATCGATTCGGTTGAAAAAAAAAAAAAAAAAAAAAAAAAAGACAACTATTGCCTTTCATCTTGGGATTTATCGCGCTAATTTTGCGCCCGACGAGAGATAGAAAGAAAGAACCCACGCGTTTGTTCAAGCGCGTATATTCGTACCGGATACGGATCACCAGGCCTACATTGTATACGTGTACGCAGCTGTAGAATTTTTTTTTTCTCACGTTGCATCTTTTCTTCACCCGAGATATACATCGCAGGATGTGCTCGTTGCGCAAGATGTGTATATGTTATATAGGAGCGCACGCGAGGGTCATTTGAATTTTATGGAAGTACTCGTAATGATTGGCTGTATATATATATTCGACGGATCTACGAGATGATTGAATTGGTTTCGCTCGCCTTCGAGGGATACAATACTGTGCGTGCGGGCAGTGTCGGTTGAAACTACGCGTCGACCCGCCCTCCGTGACTTGGCATTTTTTTTGTTTTCACCCATAAAAAGAATTAAAAAAATAGTACCAGTTCGCAAGTTAAATTTTAACAAAAACAATGCCTGGGAAGTTGAAATTTGTAAAATGTTATACGCGTGTGATTATCTCGATTGATAAATAAAATACTCGCGAGGCATATTATTAATTTCCACACGGTGTCGCAATCACATGTAGGTGTGTAAAGACGACCATTTGCATTGAGCTATAAAATATAGCTGATACACCCGGAGTAGTGAAAAAAATATTTTCACTCGAGTTTTATCGTAGATTTAAAAATTCACGGCACAGTCGCTTTCTTTTATTTTTCCTCCTCCTCCTTCTTCTCTTCGCTACAAACAATAAGAAACGAAGAAAGAATTAAAGAACGAGTCCAAGGCACCGGAGCGAAAATTCATTGCGCACTTGTGCTGGCAAGTAAGTCAAGTGGCTCGGAAAATTTCTTGCGTACTTGTACAACGCACAAAGAGCGTTACAACCTCAGCATCGCCGTCTTACACTCGAAACACTGGACTGCCGCTTTTTTGAGCTACACTGCCCGGTCGCAGGAAACCCCTCTGGAAGCTCGAGTAGTCTCCCCTACTTTTTTTAATTCCTTTATTCGAAGTACAATTATTATTGGTATAAATACCCTCCACCAGTACACATGCATCACGAGGTGTAAACCTTTGCCCGTTGATGTTTTACGTGGATTATTCTTTTGGGCGTCAACTCGATACCAAAGGTCCAACAGTATCGATAGGTCGCTCCGGGAAGATCCTTGTTTATATACCCCCTCGTCTGTTTGTTTTCCTTGCGCGTCCTTGGATCCCCGACTAGTCCAATGTACAATATACAGGTGTATACGTATCTATTACCCCGCGAGACGCGAGAGGCAATTTAATGCCCTCCTCTCTGTCGGTACTTACTTTGCGACGCGATGAGAAAAGAAAGGAGCACACGCGAAATGTTGTACCATAAACGTGCACAAGATACAAGGGGTGGAAAAAAGAGGGTAGTTACTCTATCGTACTTAATTTTTTTTTTTTTTTTTTTTTTTACTCACCTCGACTGCAGGTGTGCACAAATAGTCTTTGGCTCCTGTATACAGGGCGATTTTAAGGTTTATGTATGTATGTCATATGAAAGAATGATTCGTCATTCGTAATCAGCTACACGCACGTTGCTCGATACTTTTTTTTTTTTTTTTTCTAAAACACACTGCACCTGTCTTGCGATCGCGGGCGCGATTTCCCGTGGCCGTGAACTTTTTTCTCACACTCGCGTGACATGCAAATCAGGAGAATTATTTTCCTCGCACATGTGCACAGACAACGGTAGCACTCAACGTCGTAATAATATTGTTACGTAAAGCGCGAGTCCGAGAGAAAATATTTATTAGGTACGTTGAGTCCATCCACCGTAACCGATCGCCGCACCTACACATGAAACTGTTGGGAAGAGAGGAAAAAAAAAAAAAAAAGACTTGACAACATTTCTAAACGAGTTGTTTCCACCACCTCGCTGCACAACAAACATAACTGTAACTTGTATATCAAAATCCAATAGAGGTGCTCTCTCTCTCTCTCTCTCTCTCTCTCTCTCTCTGTTCTTATCTCAATTCTCCGCGAGTCCTCATAAGTATAAGTAAAGATGATGATAACGATGGGCTCGTTTTTTTTTTCTCCAGTGAGGATCCAAGGAGCTGACTTCAAGGGCTTCTTCCTGCAGGCCCGTGACATAAGGACGAGCGAGTGGGTGGGCTCGTGGGCCAAGACACCCAATACCAACGCCCACGCGGAGTGCAGTGCCGTGACCCACGCCGATCCCCGTGACAAGCAGTTCGCCACTCTCATCTGGAATGCACCGCTCAACGCCCGCGGCACCGTTTACTTCACGTGAGTCTCTACTACATAAATATGTATGGGAGGATGGCAAGCTTTTTCTCTACCAACTGAGGTGATTTTTTTTTTTTCAGGGGCACCGTACTAAGGGATTACTCGACTTTCTGGTCTGACATTGTTTCGGAGGTTGGCCAGTGAGCGTACATGGTGTACCTACCTTTGTCTTTATATTTTTTTTTTTTTTTTTTTTTTTTTTTTTTTTTTTGTACCTTTCATACATGCGCTGATCAAATGTGAAATTGATTCTCCCCGGACAAAGGAATGTACTATTTTTTAACGCGACAATAAAATATGGTTGTTTTCATAAATACATTTGCCCTCGATCCATCATTCAAACAGATTGCACTCGGTGTGACGAAACGTATAAGTAAATGCTCGACGGCAATTAGCACCATCACGATACTCCTACGAATGGCGGGGGAAAAAAAAAGACGCATCATTTGCATACGGCATAGTCTATACAAGTTTACACGTAGCGGTTTTCGTGTTGATTAAAACACGCTTGCGAGTAGTTTACGATACCCCCCTCCCCCCCATTGACCACGTGTATATACGTATGCGCGTCTTTATTTATAAACAGAGCACGCAATGCAGCTTATCGATTACTGACTTCCCTGCCCTGTGCGAACGCGACCCCCCGCCGCGTTTTATTATTCATAATATCGAGGGGATTAGTGGATCGGGAGGAAATTACTAATTTCTGGAATTACTCGTGTGGTGAACCCCACGCCCGTTTATTTATTTACTGCGGTAACAATTTCCCCCCCCCCCTTTTTTTTCCACCTCTCTTTTAATCTCGCGCTATTGATATATATACTTGCCATGTAGTGAATATCAGAGTGTGGGTTTACCGTAGACCCACGCTCGCGGGAACGCAACAATTACGGCGATAAAAATCACGGAGTGTACAAGGTAGATGTGCTTTTTTTTTCTTCGAAAGAAAAAAAAAAACAACAGTTACTTATGGCGTCTCGCGGCAAAGTACAATTAACTGTCCTCAAAGTTTTTTAATAACACGTACGGGTTATACAGGGGGCTCGGACGAGTTTCCGTTGCGTGCGGGTCGACTTTGGTTTTCTCAAAAGTAAAAAACGTGAGTATGTAGGTGCTCCGATGTCGAGTGAACGCGCCGATTGTATACCTCGTAAGCAAGTCAACTTGGATCCCTCTATTTTTTTTTTTTGCGGATGAGAAAAAAGTAGCGATCGGTAGGTAGCGATAGTAGGAGGGAGAGGGCAGTGAACCCCTATCGCTTGATGGCACCGAATCGAGAGCAAAGCCTCGTGCGCATCGCGTACACCTATATATACCGGGGAGAGATGAATTTGTCCGATAGAGCCGGGCGACGTATCTAAGGTTCGCGCAGATATACACGCCCGCACGAAACGAAATCCGAGGACCCGATTGCCGATCTATACCTCTCGACTCGCGTGCTTTTAGCCATCGGTACTTATATACCTGCTCATATACTTGCTGGACGGCACGCGAGAGCCTTTGTTCTTTTTGAACCTCGTTTCGTATGGTTATATACCGAAATATAAACTCGCACTTTTAGCCGTAAACGATTCTCTGCCGGCGATTGGATCTTTACGGGGAACGAGCCGCGCCGTCTATGCGCGATGACCTTTCCTGTAATCCGAGCGGGGTTGTGAGCGATAGAGATCGGGAAACTAAGAGAATTTCGCGTCGTTTTCCAACTCTATTTTTTTCCTTACGATACATAGGGTGCAGGGGGACTCAGAACTACTGGAGGCCCATTTTTTAAAAAAATTTTATTTAAATTGCAAAAGATGATAAAAATTTTACCTCATACAAAGATTGTATGATACTACCTCTTCCTTATTGTTTATTTTTTTGTTTTTGTTTCAAGTAATTTCAATAGTAATTCGTAATACTGTCCCTTTTCACAACATATTGTCACAACATGTACGTGTGCAGCATAACTCGGGTCTTGAACCCAATTTGGCTCTATTACGAGACTCTCTGACTCAACCGAGCAAGCTATTCACAACCCATCGACGGGTCATTACAATCATCTGATGTCAAACGTACTCGGTATTAGTATAGTTAGAAAAAAAAAAAGAGAAATGAGTAACGTTGCATCGCAAGCCAATTATATCGTTGCACAATCAGCGCGTCGGTAAATTTTTATTTTTTTTTTATTTTTTATTCTCACCATACAGCTCTGAACTGTATACGTTGCCCCGGTGTTCGTATATACTCGATACGCTTCTACACACACAACAGTATAGGTATGCCACATGCAGCTGTTGCGTAAAAGCTGTACACGCATATATACGTGCGGCGCCTCACGCAGACGATGGCGATCGGTTGATGTAGGAAAAAAAAAAAAAAAAAAAAAGGTAAAAGTAGGATAAAAGATAGCGCGTCGATAAAAATGATGGAAGGAGTTGGGAAGATTGAAGAAAGATGACTCGGCTGTTTTTGCCGCCTATATCGCGTCGTCACACTCTCTTTTCATTCACTTTTCCCGTTGCTGCACACGTTATTACACGTTGATAGCTTTGATGCTACCTTGTTTTTTTTTTCTTTTTCTTTCCCTCGAAATTTTACTGATAGACGACGAGGAAGAGCCAGATTTTGTAATTTCAATCTCGCGTAAACCATACGTCCGAGGAAAAATTGTCGAAACGGAGCAATCATCATCCCGACGCGGATAAAAATACTGCACAACAGCGCAACAATGGAATCACCTGAAAATAGAAACGCGAGTGAAAAAAATAAAAAATAAAAACAGTAAGCCTATCTACACTCACTTTGACTACTCGGACGAGACTTTCTTCTCGAGGTCGAATAGGCATGCGGCTCTGCCAAGAGAGATAGAGAGAAAAAAAGGAGTAAAAGTACAAGTGCACCTGCGCATCTCGTTGTCGAGAGATTCTCATTGAAAAAGAGAAAAAAAATTAAGCCAGAGAAAGTTTTGGCTCGGGCTTGAAAATCAGCGTGACAATCGCCGCTGCAAGGCTTGACTGAGTTATATACTCTTGCTCCGCTCCCGCGAACAAAAGAAGATGGTACCCACTTGCAATTTTTCAGTGAATCACACCCAGTGCCCCTAAATTGGCGGCCGCTATTCCCCCTCGCAGCCCTTTTCACAAGCGACATTTCGCTGGATATATCTGTCCCGTTATTGCACGCGCACGCGCCTACAATAATAACACCATAAATCCTGATTGCGTAGCCCCTCGGGGCATGTATGATTTTCGGCACTGAACTGTCGGTGAAAAAAAAAAAAAAAAAAAAAAAAAAAACTCCCCAAAAGGATTTTACAATCACATAAAAAAAGTAACTGTTGTTTTACACGAAAGCGTCGTCGTGCGATTGGCTCTCTGTTGTTGCAACGCAAACTGCACCAACATAAACACCATCAGTTTTCCAATTATACATTTGTATGTTGGTAACGCATCTTACTTTCACCTATCGGCTCTAACGGGGAAGGAGGAGGAGGAGGAGGCCCCGAATCTTATTAAACCATTCATCACCTGTAATTGTAGCGAGCATTTTGCAAAAGCAACCTCCTCTTCCTCGTAAAATTTCAATTAAATTTAATGGTCTTTGAAAATTACAAGTGCTTTCTCTCCCTCTTGCTTTTGCGTCCCACGGATAGTGAGTACATATTTATATTTATATATATATATGTACACTCGTGTCGGATTATTCCCAAAAATCGGTAAACAATCAGCTCCGATCCTTAATTTCCTTTGTTCTCGCGGCAGTCGAGCCTTTCGTACTCCCATAGGGGGAAAAATCATAATTACAAATGTAAGGCACGCCGAGTATACACGTAGCACCACCTAAACGTACACCCATATCCCTTGGGAGAAATAAATAGAGAAAGAGAGAGTCTAATAAACACCTCTGTCAAGCCTTTCAAATCCTCGGCGCGGTACTCGTTGGTACAGTTAAAAAGAAGTCCTGGCTGATATACATTACAAACACAATGCGCGCGGCCGATTCCGGCCGAGATTATTGTACCCGCGCGTTTCATTACGGCTGTCAGACCCGATGGAAAACACACGTATACTCCCTTTCCTCTGCGGGAGAGCGAGGATGGTAAAATTTAGAAGAAGGGCCGACCGTATAAATCGTGATTCTAATTATTGATTACGGAGGAGGCAGCCATACAGTTGGGAGCCGAGGCTCGCGAATCTCGGCCGAATCGTGAGTTTGGCTGGACGGCAATTTGTGTGCAGTATTTTCATTTTTTTTTTTTTTTTTTTTTTTTTTTTTTTTTTTTTTTTTTTTTTTTTTTTT